ATATGAAATCAGTTATCAGTTAGCGCTGAATAATTGATGATCGTTGATCGTTGCTCAGTTGCAGCAAACCCTACACCAATCAAAGAATGAGTGTGAGTCGAAACTTTTTTTGTATGTAGATGAAAAAGAATTGTATCCAGTGGACTAATATTTATCTATAAGGTGAAAGGGGATTGAATTTTAGCTCGAGGTTGTGCTGTGAGAGTCAGAAAACCGGGAGAGAAATCCAATATTTTTCTCGTTGATAATACACTATTTTTCAATATAAACTTGAAAAATGTCTGAAAAATATACAGTCGTATGTTCAGAATTTATGGAATGGAAGATGAAAAAGACATGATGCACTGATGCATTTCTCTATCGCAGATGGTGTTACTTGTTTTTTTTTTCGGAATTGGCACAAGAAGCCATCAACAGTGAACAGTGCATATATATTCGGCATAAAAGTAATTTTATAAAAAGTGACTTAATGTCACACTTTCTTCCCGCCACAGAAAAAATATTACACGCTCAAGTTATTTGTTGCTTTTGAATTTTTGATCTCGACCTATTTTTAACCAACCAAAATATATTTACACTAGACCGAGTGGAAGTGTTGGGATATTTAGATTGGAGAAAAATATTTATGAATCGAGGCTTATAGATGAAAATTCTCTAAAAATAATTCTGGATGCGTGGCCAGCTGAAAAATCAGTGACGACAGGGGGGCATCGTTCAAAGATCCCACTAACAGAAAACGTCGAGGAAAACCTGTTAAAAATTTGGCAAAAACACAAAACCTGTGGATCTCCGTATCCACACAAAAGTGTGTGTGTGTGTAGAAAAAGTCTAAAGTTGTTTGGTCTGATAAATAGCAATCTGATGATTTCAGCTTCAAACTATTTGAATGCTTGAAAATATCATGAGTAATAAATTTCAGAAAATATACTATCTGATGGATATTTTTTGTGAGTCATGGAATTTCAGTAGAATAAATGAAGACTTAAAGAAATGGAAAATTTTATTTTTCGAATCAAGAATGTACCCCTGGAAGATAGTACGAAGAGAATGATCGATCGGTCCCTTGGCCCACACACATTGTTTATAATTTCTAGCATGTGTCACGTTTTCATTATATTTTACTGTAGCTGTAGCACTTGTATATATTGTATGTCTTTTGACCATATGTTACGACTTATTCAAATCTGCCTCATTATGATATATGTATTTGCAGAATTAAATAATGATTTTCATAACGAGAGAAGATTCATTGTCTGAAATTTTATATTTTTCGAAGTATTTGAGGAACCTGAAATCTATATTAGTTTTGATGTCTTTCTAGTTCGCAACTGGACTTGTAAGAGATTTGAGAGCACTCCGTCATTACTACATTCGCAGATTCAACGTTTCGTCTTCTTGAGGCCATCATCGGTCTTATTCAAAATCGAATAGGTTTTTTAAATGCTTCAATTTGGTCGATCTTCTTCATGATATTCAAAAAAGGCCAGTCTACAAATGTTGAAAACATCAGTATTCCATGAATTTCAGTGTATCACAACTATTTATATACAGTGTACTCCTGAATTCAAGGAACACAATCCTTCTTTTTCAAGATACAGGGTGCTGAAGTTTAAATACGCCAAAAATAACACCCAGTAGATTTTTTTCAACTTTCCATTGTTTTCTCAGATGAATCTATGAAATACATACATTTTTGGCACTTTATAGATTTTGTCAATCTCACTTTTCGTTCTATAGGATCATAGGATGACTAATGAAATTCGGTGTGTGAGTGAAGTACATATATATGCATTATTTGGCGTATTCAATTGTATTCCGTCACTTCCGGTTTGACTAGAAATGACCCATATTTTCTTATTTTGAATGGAACACCCGGTAATTTTTTTCTCATTTCGAAAGAGAATAACATAGTGAGTACAATGAAACCCATTTTTATTTTTCAATTGTCAATCTAGAGTGCCATGAATAAGTTGAAACAGTAGATTTTGAATCATGTTGCCTAGAAAAAATAGTTTCGATGAAGTTTTATTATTTATTTTTTTCACAGGTTCGTTTAAAATTTACAACTTCGTAATTATGATAATAACTCATTTTTTCCAATGGAACAAGGATGGCTCATCACCATATCTGAAAAGGGTATTTCGTTACAATCACGTTGATACCACATAATCGATATTTTGAATCAATATCCAGTATCATAATCACTCTAGATTGAAAGTTGAAAAATAAAAATTTCAGAATGAAAAATGTAAGAAATTGGCAAATGGGGTGTCATTGTACTCATAATGTTATTCTCTATCGAAATGTATAAAAATATACCGGGTGTCCAATTTGAAATAATAAAAGACGAGCCATTTCCGGTAAAACCTGAAGTGACAGAAAACAATTGAATACGCCAAATAATGCAACTTTATAAACTATACTCACACACCGAATTTAATTTGTTTATTTATAAAAACAAAAAAGTTATAGGGGTGAACCACTTTTGAGAAACACCCGGTAGGTATAATCCCTCACCCCTTCAGCCGCCGCATGCTCCAGAATCCTTAACAAGGGCGTAGCAATAATATTTTGCTAGGGGTGCCAGATTTCAACTAGCAGAACAGAATAATAAAATGAATGGGAATTGGAAATACGCCACTGGTGATTTTTTTCTGTTTACATACAGATCAAAACTTGTTGAATGTCCTAACGGATCCCGTTCATTTTGGTCCTTCGCCAAAGCTGTAGGAAGAAACTTCACTTCCAGCTCGTTTTCTCCTCCAACCAAGGAAGATGGAACACTAGCCACAACTGCCCAGGAGAAAGCCAATATTAATGCGCATTTATTTGCTGGAAATTCCACTCTAGATTCATCGGGAAATCAACCTCCAAACATAACGCCAATTGACAGTCATATGCCCGAGATCACCTGTCGCCAACGTACTATAAGGAAGATTTTATTGGGTCTTGTTCTCTGCAAGTTGTTCAACTATTCTTACAAATTGGGGACATTCTCGTCCAACTGGAAAATTGCAAGAGTACAACCAGTTTCTAAAATGGGCAAAAAGACCCTACCTAGCAACTACAGACCGATCGCACTGCTATCTATTATTTCAATTAAAGATCATGAAGAGAGCTATCAACATTGAGCTCATGATATATCTGGAACATTCAGGTATTATCAACGATAGGCAATATGGCTCCAGTCATCAGAGATCAACTGGTGACCTGCTCGCTTACGTCTCACATATATGGCAGCAATCTATTGAAAAATATGGTGAAACCTTAGCCGTGGCACTTGATATCTCCAAGGCATTCGATCGAGTATGGCACCACGGACTCCTCGCCAAACTTCCATCTTATGGCTTGCCTCCCCTGCTATGTTCTCTGCTAGCTAGTTTTCTCTCAAACAGGTCTCCCCATCATGTAGTGGTCGAAGGAGTCTCATCTGACTCTCTTATCATAAATGCTGGTGTTCCGCAAGGATCAATTCTAGCACCAACACTATTTCTACTCCATATCAACGATTTGTTGGAAGCAACTTCATGTCCAGTACATGGCTTCGCGGATGATAGTACCCTCCATACCGCCTTCTCTTCCAGGGCTCCAAACCAGCCAGGCAAATCAGAAACGAACGAGGAAGAAATGTTGACAACATAAATATGGACTTGGCAACAATTCTCGAATGGGGGTCCAATAATAACTTGGTAGATTTCAATGCAAACAAAACACAAGCATGCCTTTTCTCTAGAAAAGCCGATCTCACCCAACATAAGCTTGTCAGGAGTAACCATATCTTTGAAGACATCCATTTCGATGCTTGGTATTACTATCAGCAATAACCTTTCTTTGGAAAATCACGTGAGATCAATTGCAAAAAGTGCATCCCAAAAACTTGTTTTTTTGATTCGAGCCATGAGCTATCTCACTCCCAGTCAGCTGCTTATGATCTATAAGGCACAGATCCAACCTGTCCAGGAATACTGTTCCCATATTTGGAGTGCAGCACCCAAACATACCCTGAAACTGTCCAAAAAAAGGCAATTGGTCTCGTGGGTGATGCCTCGCTTACAAACTCACTGACTTCTCTGGAACACCGTAGAGAAGTTGGCGATCTGCCTCTATTTTATAGATATTTTCATGGACGATGCTCTTCTGAAATATCAACAATTGTTCCTCTTCGCGAGATTAACCCGTCGAGTTGATGATCCAGAAATTTAAGAAGAACACCAATTCGCTTGCCGGTCGTGGGTTCGATCCCCGTCGACTGCAGAAATTTTTCTGATGGCCCAAGAAAGTGTTTGGGATCACACGTTAAAAGGTAAGGCCCCCGTCATTCCTTGCTCGCACAAGACTTTCGAAGACTTTTGAGGGTTGCTCGTAAGGGGGCAACCGAATGACGGATAGAACAAATTTTAGAATAAACAAATTCCTACCTTATTTCCCTTGGCTCTCACGATGTTCTCTGAACATTACAGGATATCCCTTTTCGTGGGAACCAGAACATAAAAAAATAGGGTGCTTCAAATGGTCAAATCAAATCATATTTCAGCGCTATCTACGGTAAATGTGTCCAAGAAACTTGGTTTTATCTCCTGAACATGACTATGTTCAGTGAGTTTGAAAGAGATTTTGATTGTGTCTTTAAGCTCAATCGATGATTTACAGGATGTTATTTGTGTTTGACGTTTAAGATTGTTCGCTCATACTTTTTTCTGATTTTGACATGTAATTTGACAGATTTCACCACACAAAATGACGCTTTTCCTAACTGCTTACGTACATATCTAGTACGTAACTAGTTAGGAAATATATATTTTGTGATTTCTGAATGACGGTGATGCAGTATTTTCTTCTGCCCCCCTCTTGCTACGCCCTTGATCCTTTAGCGTCTGCCGAGACACTTTCAGTACTTTCAGCCGCTTTCAGCATCCCCTCTCCTGCTACCTGAAATCTTGGCACGCGTCCTCATCTGTAAATATAGAACAGCTACTTTGGGCCCTCGAGGCAGTCATTTCTGAACCACTACCGAAAACGCTCGACAGATCTCATCTCGCAGGAGTGGATATCAAGTGTGCGCCATTTATGTCAATGTCAATGGTTGTCGATTGTCGGAGATTTTTTTAGCCTACCTGTTGCGCGAGTGCTGAGTTTTGGCCAGAGCTGAAAGAATGCCGCGAGCTTTCCTGCTTACGCATCGAAAATATAGTTTTGGAGAGGGGGAAGGAAAAGGTAAGAAATTTTGTTCATACAGGGTGTATCTAAATAACACCGAAAAGTTCAAGGGGTGATTTCTTATGATATTTCAGGAAATAAAGTTCATACAGGGTATCAATATTTCAATGAAAAATCTTTTTTCTATTCATTTCTCAATTGTCTTTTCATCAGTTCCAATAAAGCGTTGTGGTTTTGTTAATAGTGATATGGAGCTTCTTCTAATGCAATTTCATATTTGTATCAGGTTATATGTGGGATTATGAGAACCTTCAGTGATGCAAAGATGTAAACACTATGGTACTCCGAATCTGAAATATTCCAGCTAATTTTACTTCATTCAAGATTTAATGCATGTTTTCTCACTTTGAAGATAGATGAGTTTCGAATTTTCAATTATACGATATTTTGGGTTCGGGCCCTCTTTATATTCCACCGAATTTTATTATTACGGTCCTGGAATTTGTTTCAATTCCATATCAACTTCACTCCTTCCAAAACCAATGCTCTTTCATATTACATTTCTTTTCTACCTTCATAATACAGGGTGATTCAAAATTCGATGTAAATATTTCAAGGACATATTGTTGATGGGATCAAAACAGTACTTTTTGTTCATATCAACATGTGTCCTAAAATACACTCCCCAAGGTACGAGCCTCTTCCAACACCTCCAAAACTGGGTTAACATAATTTTTAAGCATAAAAGAAGAAGAGTGTCTGAAAAACAGAGGCATGCCAATTTTCAGACGATTTGATCCGTTATTATGCTAACAATAATTACAGATAGATTATCTTATTTTCTTACCCAACTTACAGAGTGGCTATAGCTCAAAGGGGATACATTTTGAGACACATGTTATGATATGAAGAAAAAGTCGGATTTTGATTCCTAAAAATACCACTTTTGAATAATTACATCGAATTTTTAATCACCCTGTATAGGTAGGCATAGGTTCTTGTATTTCTTCTGGGACTCTCAGAAATTCATTTCACAAGCAAAATACCATGTATAAATTTTTTCTTCTTTTCTTTTTTTTTCTTCGAGTTTTCTTTCTTGATCATGTATATATTGTATATAATTTCTTCATGCTGGGAATTTTTTTATACAGGGTGTTTCGTAATATGTGGGACGCAATTCGAGAGATGATAGGGCGTCTCAACGAAATAAAAAAGTTTCTATAAACAAAAGTCGTTTAAAGGCTCCGTTTGCGAGATACCGGGTGATGAAGTTGTAAATATTTGTAGAATGTTTTTATGTCCACACTGTATGGCTCTTCGTGGTGGCAGAATTCAGTCGGTTATGTGACTGGCATACTGACACAATTACAGAATAAAATCCTAAAATCAATCATGTTCATTAATCTGAAGAGACATCTACATCAAATTTTGGAGTTGAATCTTGGTATTATCGGGTTTTCTCGAAAACAGTGAATCTTTCAGTGAGTTTCAATCCTTATTGATGCTTTTCTCTACACAATTGGATCCTCTTTCATATTTTCGAATAAAATTTCGGAAAGTTAAATCGCCACCCATGTTTTTTCAGAAAATTCACACATCAATATGCTACGGATTCAATCACTCTGAGGTACTACGCACCAGAATATCAAGAAATTTTGTTTAGGGGATATCTAGAAATTCAATGAATTCTTTATTCACCCTGTATCTCGCAAACGAAGCCTTCTACGACTTGTTTATGGGAACTTTTTTTTGAGACGCCCTATCATCCCTCGAAGTGCGTCCCACATATTACGAAACACCCTGTATATTTGACATTTCTTGCAGGATTTGAATTCCACCTTGTATAAGAAATTCGATTTTAGATGAACCGATAAAAATGATTTATTTCTGGAAATTCGATTTTAGATGAACCGATAAAAATGATTTATTTCCGGAAATTCACTTTATCTTCTAGTTTTTTCGGACCCTGTGTATGATTATTTAGATTTGTATCTTTCAATATGGGTGACATTTTTAGAAATAACTTATATAAGCTACACCCAATATGTGTTTTGAAAATAGCAGCGATCAATCATGTGATGTGTTTTATGTTTTATTCAATAATTTACAAACATTTTAGCGCATTTTAGGCAGAGAACAAAATTCAATATTTTCTAAAATATTTGTTTCTCGACCAATTGCACTTATTTCATTTCGATTTTTGTTTTCTGTTAGTCACTTCATTTATCGCTCTTGGTCAGAAAACACACCCTGTATATTGATGAACTTCATCAATATCCCAGAACTTCCCTAGCATTTTGTCCAGATCGTATTACTTCCACATTCGTGAATATATCAAGGTATTTACTCAAGAATAGGACAAGTGTGCGTTGGACTGACTGTCCATTTGGTTTCATGTCAACAACTCATTCGAGTTGTCAAAGTTTTCGAACAACTAACAACCTGTTAAAAATTTCGAGAACGTGGTTATACATTGCTCAAAAAGTGGTTGATATCGATAAATACTAAAGATGCCACGCCTTTTCATGTTGACTAATAGGCGATACAATCAAAAACATTGCAAAGTCAGAGGTATGTAAATTCCCATTTAGTGTAGTGTAGGCATCATATTTTTTTATATTTGCGAAATGTTTGCTTGTTGTATTTCTCAAATTGTAGGTCACTGTGGATTTTTTTCAGACACATTTTTGAGCCACATTCACAGCGGGACGATAAAAAAAGTAGGCGTATTCGCGATCTAAGTATACTTATTTTTAACTGATCATGACTCAAAACAATATCCGCAATGAAAATGGCAGCTTGTGGCAGAAAATTAGGAAGAAAAACACTCATAAATTTCGGTGGACTACTTGTTGCGGATTGGCAAGAAGCCGAATCCAAATTCGAAAATACGTTGGAAGTTGTGACGTCACCGGTTCGTCATACGTGGGAGCGATGAAACAGTTTAAAACTTTTAAATTCAGAGTCAATGCATAGTTAACCAGGGGACAAGGGAGAGGGGGTTGGTCAGGAAAGCTGTGAAAAAGCGCTGATTTTTTGATAACCTTCATGGAAATATACAGGGTGAGTTAAAAATGTGTTCCGAGCTTTCTGGAGGTATATACATTGAATAATGAGTATAGTTTGATGAATGAACTAATTGTCCAAAATTCATATCAAGGGAGATATATCCTTACAAGGTTGATTAAGTTTAAATGAATTCCGCATAATATAACTTCTAAACGGTGAAAGCCACCAGATTGAAAATTTCCTGCATAAATGTGATGAAATACATTTTCTGATACACATGTACATTTCTGATATTGTTATGAAGACAACCTTTTTACTTGTATTCTTTTTGGTGTTGTAAAAATACGGAATATTTTATCGTAACCGTTTTCGAGAAATTTAATTATTTGTAGTGACATCATATCAGCAGATAAGTTCATCAGTAACAATATTTTAGAATGCCTCGAACTTGTTGGGAGGCCAATATCCTCGCCAACATCTCTATTTTTCGTTTTGAAACATTCTTTTTCACGCAATCTTCGCACAATCCTCAAAATTGGTCTAGAATTTGGAACACGTCATGCGGGAAACATCACTGCATCACGAATAACCTGCCATTTCTTGAAATCTCAGTTGAAAATCTCAGTAATAATATTACTATAAGCGTAAAAACCAAACAAGGAAATTTACAATAAGAATGTTGAGGTCATAATCGTCAAAATTAAGAACAAATTTTCGCATTTTGATAGGGACAACTTTCTTTATATGAATGAAACTGAACTGAAAACACCCCTCATAATGATATATCATAAATACTGTAGAAGTGCAATAGAAATAATATGCATTTTAACAACCTACATTTATTCAAATAATTTCACCATTTAGAAGTTATGCGAAAAGATTATTTCAATTTCACCAACTTTGGAAGTTTTATCCTAAGCCATAAGTTTATCTATCAAAATATACTTATTATTTAACGTACTGTCAGCTCCAGAAAGCTCGGTACTCATTTCTGACTCACCCTGTATAACAATTCTGAGAAATTGGGAACAAAAATTTCTGGAGAATCAGTGGTTCTGGAATGTTGAGGGATACCTGAGATTATTCGTATATCACACTTAATACAAGATGGTTTTCATGCCGGCTGGAGTAGAAGTTAGTTTCTCTGGCAACAAAAGAGGGGCAGAAGTCTCGGATTATTTCCTAGGGAGATAATGTTACGTATTTATTTTCTCCCTAGGGAGTTTATACCAACTTTTCGTTTTCCGCATAACTCTGCGCTTTCTTTTCGGAATACCCTTCTCTGAAGCGACTATAAGATAAGCTGCATCATACAGACATAGATATAAATACACTTTAGATCTATGATACAGATTTCTAGATCTCACTGGTAGCAAGTAAAGAATCACTGCAGAAGCAGTATCAATAGTTTCTCAAGGTTTTCCCTCGATTTCTTGTTCCATAACCGTTAACCATTTTCAAAGCTGTTTTCATAAATTTCAGTTTGATATTTGCTGTTACCATGGATTGTAAACAAGATGCATGTTCTCGAGATACGAATTCCACAAACTATACTACTACTTATCATGACAAATAACTTTGACCACATTTTTATTATCTCTTAATTTTTGTGTTTTCGCCAGCGTAAAAAATATAGTATATATACCTCAGGACAAAATGCTATTTTTCCCTCGCACCTATTAAAAATTCTTGAATTTTTCTTCGAAGCACTGGTGGGCGGGTGAACCCCCTGCACGTGGGCTTCCTTATTCGGGCCCATTGTGCGCCCACATGTTACGACATTCAGCTGGGTATGCCGACTGCCTTGGAGAAGTTCAGCAGCTTCCTCAGCTGAATCTCTTTTACGTCCTCTGACCTCAAAATTATGTTGCCAAGGACAGCCCTTCTCTGATGCGTCAGTGCTGGACACTCAGTGAGGACATGTGATGACGTTTCGTCATCTTCCAGGCACCATCTGCAAAGGGGGTCATCCTTGATCCCAATAAACTCTAGGTGCCTATTGAGGTGGTTGTGCCCCGTTAGGAGCCCCACTATCATTTTAAGGTTTCGCCTGTTTAGGAATAAAACCTCTTTTGCGAGCCTCTTCGAAGGTTCCTTTATGTGGAGCTTCGATTGTCTCATTCCTGGTGTGTCCTGCCATATTTTGAGGAATTGCTTTTGCAGCTGTTCCTTTATAGAGGACATTGCCAGGCTATTTGGTGTTCCCAAGATTGGTTCCGGTCCGACCGACGTCCGTCCTGAACCGATCTTTGCCAGTCTGTCTGCCTCCTCGTTTCCGGGTATTCCCGAATGTCCCGGCACCCACATGATTTCACCCTCTTTTGAAAAGTGATCGTCAGCATCAGAATTTTCTCAATGAACGTTCGTAATGTTATTTCATAGGTTTGAGTCCGGAACATCATGTCAGCCAAGCTGACGATCCGACGGCAGATTGTGAGATGCCATCGATAGATAGCACAGAGTGCCCGGAAGAACTCTACAATCTCACGAAACTCGCCGAAGTTGCGGTGGCTACGGGCCAAATTTTGGAAAAGAGACGTACCAACTCGCCTTCTAGTACCACGGAGGATGACCACCGTCCGTTTACTTACACCCACAAACTGTTCGATAAGACTTCTAGAGCACCAAGACCGCATTTAATCAAGGTGGGTGATAGCAGATACCAACTTGAAAAATATTGATCATTGATTAACATAAATCTCGCCATTGTTTAACTAATGAATCCAGGATATTTAACTACTGAACATCTGCAGTTAGCATTTCATAACTCCTAGAGTTGTCTGGACCTACCTATGAGCTAAAATGAATACAAATTTCAACCTGTGTCTTGAATATTAACAATTATATAGGGTGCATTTAAATAACACCCAAACATTTTGAGGGGTAATTCTGTGTTGAAAATTGAGGTGGGTATTTATTCGGTATTTATGGTATGAAATTTTTTGAAAAACTTCTTCGCAGAAAAAATACACCTCTCCAAACATTGTAACAAAGGTGTTGCATTTATATTCTCCCTGTATAACAAGCAAAATACATTGTTTGTTCACACGTGTTCGAGTTATGAAAGTCGTAGTCTAGTTGTATTTGGTGGGCTGTTGTTCAACTAAATGCTACTCAACATGAGCTCCCAATAATTTTTTCTGGTAAATCCTCAAATTTTCTAAAGAAGATTGTGAATGAATTGAGCTTTTCAACCATCTTTTCTTAAAACGAAGTTTTATCCAAAGAAGTAGGAACTTGGTAAGAAATGATATACGTTAGGGGTTGACTATTTCAACCCCTTTTAAGCAGACTCCAGGGTTGAAAACATTCCAAAGTGTGTAGATTTATCGACAAACAATATTTACAGAGTTTCGTGTCTCCAGCTCGATATACAGGTAAAATATATTTTTTTTAATTCTTGGAGGGGTGTAACTTTTCCGGAAAGAGGTTTTCATAAAATTGTATAACCAAAACCCACATTGACTTTCATCACACAATCACCCTTTACATTCTTTCGGTGTTATTTAGTATTTTGACCTATGACACATCTGTATCAGTTCGCAATATTTCCACTGAAAAAATATTATCACGTTTATACCTGTTGCATTCGAATCGTTAATATTATTCAACCTCTATGGAATATTTCCTTATCACCATGTCTTCTCTAAAATTTTGGTTCTTTGTTGCCAATTTCTAACCCCAAACGCTATTCTGGTTACCCGTTTTCTCAAAGAATGGCTCTAACCTCGGAATCGGTCTAGATTTTTTGAACTTATTTAGACCTCACCATAACTAATATGCATGAAATATTCACTTTTTTTACCTCTTGATATGTCTATAATTCTCAGTTCGCAATATTTCCTCTAAAATATTAGTTCTTCGTTAACTTTGTCTACCTATATTGGCCATGTAGTCTGTGTAGTCTGCCAACTTTAAGAATTTTAACCTCTGAAGACAATATCAAGTACCAATAAAATTCTGACATGGTGTTCTCAGTTTCTTTGACTGAAGATATTCCTTTCAATTTATTTTTAACATTTTTAAAATTCGAAGGCCATGCTATTGCCTAACCCCTAAAATATTCTGCCTTGCATTTTCCGATGAAAGTTGTGGATGACATTCTCCGTGCTGATCTAATCAATATTTTAAGGATATTCAACCGCTAGAAATGATCGTTCATGCTATGTCGACTTCTAAATGAGACAATATTACCCACAATCTCAGAGATATTCCCTTTCGTGTGCTCCTAGGGATGGAAAAATATCTGATAGAAGTTGAAGTGGGGTTGAATTTTGAAGGAAGAATGGGATGCTCGAAGTCATCACGGATATATATTTCGGGCTTCAAAAATGCCATCTTTAGTACAAGTTTGACGTTCCTTCAGCAAACAAACACATGAATTTCAAAAATTGACAGCTGAATAGTGATTTGTATTGATTTACATGGTTCCACTTTCATGGTAGTGAAAAATCGAAGGATCCTTTCCAGTTTAAGGGTGACAATGAACAATTCCATATGATCTTTTGATTTTCCACCTCCATGAAACTAAAACGAGACGGTTTTTAGTTGTCAAAATCCATGTTTTCGTATGGCTTCGAATTTTGACTGAAATTATGCTTCTCTGAGATTGAAACAGCAATTCTAATTCTGGAAATTTAATCAACTTTAATTTTGGAAATTTGATTTTCCAGACTGAAGACGACCACAAGCCACCCTTCTTTCCCCATCGAGCCCACAGCACCACCCCCGACCCTGCCACCACTCCCCACTCCTCCACCGACGCGCATGCGCACGAGCACTCGTGCTCCGAGTGCGGCAAAAAGTACAGCACGTCCAGCAACTTGGCCAGACACAGGCAGACGCACCGGAGTCCGGCAGACAAGAAGGCCAGGCGATGTCCGCACTGCGATAAAATTTATGTCAGCATGCCGGCCTACTCGATGCACGTGCGCACTCACAACCAGGGATGCAAGTGCAACTACTGCGGCAAGTGCTTCTCGCGGCCCTGGCTGCTGCAAGGGCACATACGGACGCATACAGGTGAGGGCTGTTCAACTTTTTTGGTTCGGGAGGGAAATATGTCGTGTGACCACTCGTTTGAAAGCTCTTTTGATTCTGTGCTCGATGGACGTATTTATTTCGTATTTCATGCATTTTCAGGATAATTTCAACTTTCTCATTTCAAATATGGTATCTATATCGTGTGACCATTCATTTGAAAGCTCTTTTGATTCTGTGCTCAATGGACGTATTTATTTCGTCTTTCGTGCATATTCATGATAATTTCAACTTCCTTATTTCAAATATGGTATCTATATCGTGTGACCATTCATTTGAAAACTCTTTTGATTGTGTGCTCAATGACCGTATTCATTTCTCATAATTCATGCATTTTCATGATAATTTCAACTTTCTTATTTCAAATATGGTATCTATATCGTGTGACCATTCATTTGAAAGCTTTTTTGATTCTGTGCTCATTGGACGTATTTATTTCGTATTTCATGCATTTCCATGATAATTTCAACTTTCTCATTTCAAATATGGTATCTATATCGTGTGACCATTCATTTGAAAGCTCTTTTGATTCTGTGCTCAATGGACGTATTTATTTCTTATTTCATGCATTTCCATGATAATTTCAACTTTCTCATATCAAATATGGTATCTATATCGTGTGACCATTCATTTGAAAACTCTTTTGATTCTGTGCTCAATGGACGTATTTATTTCGTATTTCTTTCATTTTCATGATCATTTCAACTTTCTTATTTCAAATATGGTATCAATATCGTGTGACCATTCATTTGAAAGCTCTTTTGATTGTGTGCTCAATGGCCGTATTTATTTCTTATTTCATGCATTTTCATGATAATTTCAACTTTCTTATTTCAAATATGGTATCTATATCGTGTGACCATTCATTTGAAAGCTCTTTTGATTCTGTGCTCAATGGCCATATTTATTCCTTATTTCATGCATTTTCATGATAATTTCAACTTTCTCATTTCAAATATGGTATCTATATCGTGTGACCATTCATTTTGAAGCTCTTTTGATTCTGTGCTCAATGGACGTATTTATTCCGTATTTCGTGCATTTTCATGATAATTTCAACTTCCTTATTCCAAAAATGGTATGTATATTGTGTGACCATTAATTTGGAAGATCCTCCATCCTATTTCCGATGAAAATAATCAATTTGAATTCCATAAATTTTCTTTAACTGCGGCAACTACGAACATGGTGAGGGCTATTCAACTTTTCAGCTATTCCACGTCTCTGTTCGATGTACATGATGAAATAAAACTCCGTGCATTTATGTCGGGTTCATTTCGGAAATTTCAAAAGCAATTTTCATTTTATTCCAGGCGAAAAACCCTTCAGATGCACCATATGCAACAAGGCGTTCGCAGACAAGTCCAACCTGCGCGCGCACATCCAAACCCACTCGAACACCAAACCGCACGTATGCGGCAGATGCGGCAAAGCGTTCGCCCTCAAATCCTACCTCTACAAGCACGAGGAATCCTCGTGCATGCGCACGAACAACCGAGAAGCCACTCCTGACGCAACCACCCCCTCCCCTACCCCGGTGATCGTCTCTCTAGCCCCTAGACTAGGGGACACCGTCATCAAGGGACCGGTGCGGTCTCCGATGCTCTACCGCTCCACGGTGATATCCCCCAACCCCGAGAGGCTGCTTTATTCCACCGTGAAACACCCCACGGTGATCCTGGGCAGTTCGAGGTTTGGGGGAGGGTTAGCACTGCAAGAGGAACCTGTTGATTTCTCTGCGCAGAGCAGGGAGAGGCAGGGGTATGCGCACAACGTGGAAAGCGGGTATGCGCAGAGGGCGGAGCGGGGGTATGCGCTCGGGTTCGCTATCGCGGTGTGAGGAGGGGGGGGGAGGCACCTGTTGATCGGTTGCGTGCGCAGAGGTAGGGAATGGGGTAGGTGCGCATGTGGCTGAGTTTTACGGGACCACGATGATTCCAGAATAGTTCGTTGATGTTTTTTTTTGACGGTTTAGGTTTTCGACCAATATTTTGTACGTTGTGAAAATGTGTTTTGTAGTTGTTGTAATAAATAACGTGTTTGATTTGTGATGGTTTTGAATCCACGATATTATGGAGTATTCGCAATATTTAATTATTATTTATTATTCGATTAACTCACTACTTAGGGTCGGTAAATTCGCCTTGTTCGCCATCTTTTGTTCTAAAAAAACAGTCCCAGGAGTTAGACTAATATATTTATTCGTTTTACAAGGTGTCTCTTCCAGTTAACCTGTAGAGCATTAGCACTACGAGGTGGAAAAAACCTGCAAATATAAATGTTGTAGAGTTTCATCGGTAAGTACTATCTGTTAACAACTCTAAAACAATTGAATGCACCTATGGAACCCTGGAACTTTTATATTCAAAGGTTCGGTCTTTCCAAAACTTGAATTATTCCTTCTTTTAATGTTTCCATTTAATTCAATTCTATTTGATTTCTTCCGATGTTCTGGAAGATATTCTTTTCATTTTCCTTTGACAATCCCGATTTCGACTTTGTTTTATTCATATAAACATCGCCAAAAATTTTGGAGTGTACGTAGGTAGTGTACTTAATCTATAAGAAGGATTCAAAAATTGTGACGATATGAGCAGATACGATGTGATTGTTTATATTTTATTCAAAATAGCTATCAGATAATATTGGTCTCACAAAAACGTTGAAATTGGCGAATATGAAGTCTTTTTTATGGGCATTCAGAATTTAGTACTATAAAATGCAGAAAAACATCAACTTGAAAATTTTACATAAACTGGTATTTCTCAAATGAAACACGCTGTATTTTATTCTCCTAATCATTTGATTATTTCTGATTTCTTCTGATGTCAAATATATATAGGTACTTTTTATTGAGGTTATATTTGTCAGATTTGGAAAAATATAGATATTTTTGTATGAATCTGAGGCAGCAGACACAGATAACCTCAATAAAGCATATTGAAATCAGAAAATAAATACAGGGTGTTCCATTTAAAAAATACAAGTTTATGTAAAATTTTCAGGTTTACGATTCTTTTTCCCATTTCCTAGTACTGAATTTTGAATGAACATGGAAAGAACTTAATTTATAGCTATTTCAACGTTTCCGTAAGACCAATACTAACTGAGATAGCTATTGAGTAAAATATCAACAATCACCCTGTACATACATATTATTTTTCCCAGATATAGATATTTTGTGAAAAACAATAAGCATCACTGTGCCTTATTTCTGTGCCTAACTTGGTGGCAAGATCACGTGACCAACTATTTAAAGAATTGTAAATATATTTATATTGACGCTGTTTTCAGTGGTGCTAAATTTATTTCGTAAATGTCCGATGTGGCAGCTTTATTTAAGGTTATGTAGATATTTTGTTTGTTTTGATATTTTTGTAGTGTGAAAAATCTTTTTTTGAGTCGTACTATTAGCCGATAGTTTTTTTTTGTTTCTTTTTTCCTCAATTGTATTGGTTGCCCACACATTAGGAAAATATTGAGAATGTTTTTCTATGATGGAAAATAGACGAGAGTGTAACACTAGTCGTTCGAGCGCTTTGCACGGAAAAACCTAACAGTTACAGTGGGAGCGCGTTAAGTCATTTAAATTTAAGTTATTTATTTTTTACTAACCTCTTCAACAGAAATAACAGTAATTTAGTTTATTATAGATTTTAGTTTGAAGGATTTGTTTTTCTTTTTGGAAGATTTTTTTTAGTGGTATCGGCTAATGATATAAAAAATTCCTAGTCATTATTTTTAGTTCAACTGATTAAGTATTTGTACTGTCAGATTTATCTAATAGTTTATTTTAGAGGCCGATAGGTGCAATATTAATATTTAGAAACATTATGTCATTGTGTCATTTGTATGATTGATTTTATTACATACCTATTCAACGTTTTATTGTATAGTTTGGTAGTCATTCCTCTAATCATGTTGTGTCATCTACAAGAATTTTGTGAAAATGTATTTTCTAGATTTGTGTACTTTTATACAATAATATGCTGAAACAAATGCTTTTAATTTTCCATCCCTGACCTTGACAAGATAATGGAGAAAAAGATTTTCTCAATGTGGGCCAAATATTCCCAAAAATAACCTTGGCATCGATTTCGTACCAAAATGTTTTTATTCGGGAAATATCTTGATATATATTTACTTGGGGGCTATTTATCTGACCTCTCACAACTTGCAGACAGTGTTAAAACTTTTAATCTCCTCTAGAAATTATTAGGTAAGACTAAGCAAAACAAAAAACATTCGTCGCTACTAATCAATGAATTATTATTGTATCATTAAAAACACAATAATTCAGAAGTATTTAGGAATATCAAAAATTTGGAATCATGTTGTCTCTCTATATTTAATATTGAGAGTATTTTTTTTATTTGTGTTAATTTGTGTTGGTGTCAAAATATCAATAATAACGGTTGAGAATTATCAAGAATGTATGACCTTTCACACATAATTTCACATCAGTGATTACGTTGTCTTGAAGCGACCTCCAAAATTACTATCGTTCAACAAACTTCAATGTGTATTTTTAAATTCCATGATTATTCAGAACTAGAAAAAAATTATTACTGAGATCAATGATGTTGACGTTTTCTGAGAGTCCATCTTTTATTTTTGGTATCGATATCGAACTGTTGATGGATTCAAAATATTCGAGTATTTCCAATTGTCTGAAGTTATTAATATCATCATTTCTTTTATGACCTCATTTATCAATTTCAAGTCGCACATAAATCGAATAGTACATAACATATATTATGTATATTTTATTAATTAGTTGCAAAAGACTCAAAATAGAATGATAATACATATACACAGGGAAGCAAACAATTACGAATAGTTGGGAAACTGAGACTTTGTCACAAAGATTGCCAAGCAAATAATATGTTGCAACGACTGCAATATGTGGTTTACTATCATGAAGAAGATACAAAATACCCACTGACAATAATTATCGAACATGAAATTCATACCTATCGATTTGATGAATACCAGCAAGTATCCTGTTTAATAACAGCAACAACAAACTGTACCTACTCGCAAATATCGAATAAGATTGGTTTGATGGATACCAATAATAGATCCTTGATCAATAACAGCAAACAGCAAGTTTTTCAGGAAACGTGGTTTGCCTACTGTAAATATTTCATTCATCCTCACAGTTTGTTGATCGACTAAAATGTACCAACAAAACAATAATGGTTCATTTACGGTTCAGGCATTTTTTTAGCCTAGTCACACTTTATAAATATGCCAACAATAATTGGTTTCAGTTGAGTTTGATATCAATAACCGCTGCCAAACACTTCAGCATTCTGTTTATTCTGTAGCTTGTTTCTCACAGATAGTGAACATTTACTGGCCCCAATCGATCTGATTTACTTGACCGATTTTCCTTAGTGATGTGGCGAAAAAAAATGTGTTGTATAAGAAGAATAAGAAGAAAATTTTCAGTTTACTCTCGATTAACGATCACGAAGTTCATACCTACCGACAAGTATCCTGATCAGCAGCAAGATACGATAAACCTTTCAGTTGATCCTGCACTTTCTCTTACAGTTAGTGAACATTTACTAGCCCCAATCGATCTGATTCATTCAATCAATTCTTCTCAGTGGTGATGGGAAATATTCTTGTACGCTGGTGCTATGCTATCTCTGAACAGACAGCCATAAACAAATAACACTCTAAGCAGATGTGATGATAAGAAGACAATTCTCACTTTACTCTCGATTAACGATCATTAAATGTATATCTATCGACAAGTATCTCGATTTATAACAGTAGCAAAACACTCTCAACCTTTTTGGTGAGCTTGTGAGTTAGTGAACATTTACTAGTCCCAATAGATCTACTTTACTCCGATATGTATCTAGGGAGGATAGGGAGAGGAGGTTGGTATTGGAATTTTTTGAACTTCTGGAGATTATAAGTTCTTGGGAATACTTCCTTTGGCAAAAACTTCAGAGCATTGCCGTTCTGTAGACGAGTTTTGGTAAAGAGTTGTTCAACATATTTCGATGTTGAAGATTAAAGTGGCGGAAAAAATTCGTGTTTTTCGTAATTTTCTCGTACACCATGTATCGGCCCAGATAAGGGATCGTACGACGATCGAAGCATGTGTAATAAGAATGCTGGCTTCATGCTTTCTCTGAGGATACAACAGATTTTTTTCAAGTTTTGGAGATTATAAGTTCTTGGGAACACTTCCTACGGCAAAAAACTTCAAAGCTTTGCTATTCTATAGACAAACGAGTTTCGGTAAGGAGTTGTTCGACACATTAGTATGTTGAAAATGAAAGTGGCGGGAAAATTTCGTATTTTTCGTAATTTTCTCGTACACCATGTATCGATTCAGATAAGGGACCGTACGACAATCGAAGCGTGTGTGATGTGATGCTGGCTTTATGCTTCATCTGAGGATACAACAAATTTTTTTCAAGTTTTAGAGATCATAAGTTCTTGGGAGTACTTCCTTTGGCAAAAAACTTCAAAGCTTTGCTATTCTATAGACAAACGAGTTTCGGTAAAGAATTGTTCGACACATTAGTAGGTTGAAGATGAAAGTGGCGGGAAAATTTCGTATTTTTCGTAATTTTCTCGTACACCATGTATCGATTCAGATAAGGGACCGTACGACGATCGAAGCGTGTGTGATGTGAATGCTGGCGCTATGCTATCTCTTCGGAGACTCCGTGTCAGAGGTTAGTCGTAAACAGGAATAGATGAGCATTTCATGGCTGAGCGCCGTAGCGCGATGGTCCGACATTTTTTCGCGGTTTTTCTCGTGCTTTTCCACTGTTTTCCCGTGCACCAACTACACGATGTCGCGGTAAGTGAAAACTGCACGCAAAACGTGTACTTGAGAGGTTGTTCCTTCGATTTTGTGTTTGTTCAACAGTTTCTTTGATGTTAGTTTTGCGTGTAAGGATTTCTATTTGATTTCGTTCCGAATATTTTTTTTATCTCTTGGAGCGCATGAAAGGGAATTCCTATAATCCTATTGCTCTGAAAACTGTCATACAAATAACCTCATGTAGCGCACAATATTTTGAAAATGGTCTCGAAACGTATTTCAGCAAAAAATTGTAATTATCAGTGACAAATGAAGAAGCAATGATTGAAATAATTTCCACCTGATTGTCAAATGTTTTCAAAAGGTATCGACAAAATTCAAACGAATTCCAAAGAATACCAGATTCTGGGTAAAATAAAGAACAGATTTTGGTATCAAATATTCATATTATATAAATTTATAAAGAGACAAATTTTCCCTCATATATGCAATGATTGGAGAATGAAAATATATTTAATAATAAGAGGATGAGAGTAAATGTTGATATTCAAAACTTATGAGGTTATTATGTAAAGTTTCTATGAAGCATATTGCGATAATATGGAATTGTCAACGATATTTAGTGATTATTTATTAGTAAGATCGATGTTCATCTAATCAAATCGTAAATTGGAACGTGAACCGTCAACTTATGAGGAAAAAATTATAATTATGTTATCGATAACATATTTTTTGAACTGAATACGAGAATAAGATGGATAAGAATGTTTTCCTCTATTTCTATTCCCATTATGAATATTTACTTATGTGATATTTTGTTCAGGAAAACTTGAATCAATATAAATACAGAAAAATATTCACAATTGTTCTGAAATGAGTATCTACCTATGATAATTCATTCATTATTTTTTCAGAACGCGATTCCAAAGCAAAATATATCTTCAACAAATGAAGGTCCTTTAAAACCTCGCACATTATACGATTATCAGACGGTAAGTAACTGAATATAATAGTACATTATGCACCTAGGGAATGAAAAGTGGTATTTTAAATTCCTAGACAAAAAGTTTATAGCCCGACCAACAGGAGAGCTATAATTTGTCGATAAATTTAATATTTTTTCTACATTCATGCAAAAAGCAGAACTTTATTGAACTATATTTAGTGGAAAAAGAAGTTCTTTATTGCACTTAGTGCAATAAAGTTTTTATTGCACTCATTTGTCATTCTACTTCAACGTGCTGTCATCATGACAAACATTTTTTATATTGCAACTGTGGTTATAGAAACGTCAGTCAAAAATTAAGATGCGTTTTTCATTTTCCTACACCTAGTGCCGCACCACAATAAATCATTTTTTGCTTTTTGCATGAACGTAGAAAAAGTGTTGTATGCAACTCGTGCAAAAATTGTTTATTGCAATTTTTGCACTTGTTGCATAAATAACTAATCGAAAAGGTAGCTCAAGAAGCTGAAGGCCAATTATATTACCAAAAAATTTTGGAGAACAATATAAAAAACAGTTTTCTGAGTTTATCAAATGGTGCAAAGAACGGAACGTAGAAAAATGTACAGAAGAAAAGGTACTGCGAGCATATTTCTTGGAAAAGTCAAAAAAGCTTAAAAGCATCGTCATTGTGGAGCGTATATTCGATGACAAAAGACACAGTTGCAACAGACATTTTGAAAATACAATGTTAAATTCAGCTTTTATTGCAAAGAAGTAACTTTAAATCTCTAGAGATTCAAAGTACCACTTTTTTACCCAAAAATGGGGAACAAAGGTATCGTTTAAATCCCTGAAGTGCATAAAATTACTTTTATAATCATCATTTTTTCCATTTCTGTCTCTCATTCAAAATAAAATTCAATATGGGACACTGTATATTTTTTCAGCATGCTGTTGCATATAAAGACCTGATAGAATCCAGGTGCCTTCTGGAAATTCTTAATGGTAGTGAAAGTTTGATCAGCAAATGGATATCGAGTGGGAAAAAAGGAAGCATATCCAAGGAATTTTTGTACAATGAACTGCTATCGAAACGGCAGGTAAGATACATCAAGTCATCAGAATTTTGAATAATTTATGGGGTGTTTCACTTTTTTCTTGCCAAACTTCAGTAGGTCCATAGTACTCGCTAATATAAAAAAGACTATTGAACTTTTTTCTCAACTTTGATTAGCAAATTGAATCTATTGAAGTTTTGGAAATTACTGGAACATACCCTGTATATTGATTGAAATATATATGGAACGCAAAAAAAACAAGGAATGAACAAGCAGTTCGAATTCCTAATTTAAAATCATACATACTCTACTTACAAGTTCAATGCTAATAATATTGATTTGTTTACATTGAAAAAATATATATGCAGGTAGTAATACATGTCAATGGATTACGGAAAATTGTGCTGCATTGATAATAAAATGAGTTCTACTTTCTTGATAAAAATGTTCACTTTCGTCTGGTGTTTGATAAGCCCAGTAAATTCAAAAAATAAGAGACTTAGAATTTCTCATTATGTTGAAAAAACGTGTTTCCCTATATTTATCACATCATCGATTCCCCAATATGATTTGATCCCAAAAATATACAATACATTTTTTCTGAATGGCCGAAAATCATCATTTATAAAAAATTCAAGGAAATGTATATTACCTGTCTGTAGGATAATCGCGTTGGAACATTCATTCTCTAAATTATTTGAGATTTTCTCCTCGTTTCTAGATATATTTGTGTTTTTTCAGAAGTGCAAATTTGCTCGTTCGTTTTCAAATAATTTGTAGGTACACAGTTGTATTGAAGAATAAGCGTACAAAAATATTAGAGATTGCGTTAAAACGGGCAATCGGAAATGATTGTTTACCAAAAATGTTGACAGTAAAGTTGTCATAGCTTCTCAAAAACACAAAGCTTTGGCTGAGATAGTTTTACACAACTAAAACTAGGATGACGTAATAGTATATTCCATTACGAGGCTGGAAATAAAGAAGTCATGCAAGCACAGAAAAATCATTTCTGAACGAGTAATGAACGATATTTTTTATTACACTTCGATGAAAATGAAAATATAATAACATATAACATAAAAAAGACACAAAAAACTTGGTACTTTTTTATTTTCAAAGTTGTAGGAATAAAAAAACTTGAAACTACCAGACCTAGATCTTACTGGTAATAAATTCGCGGTGGCTTTTGTGCCGCTTCCTCTAGGATATTATAGGGAATTTCGAGATTTTCTTTAGAGTTCATTTTGTCGGAATATGAATTTTATTGACAGAGAAGAAACAATGCTGAGATTACAGTGTTTGGAATGTATGAATCGTTCCCATGGTTATTCTCAAAGTTTTTCCGTGCACTGTTTCCGTGAAATAGCCCGAAAAAGCCTTTCTTAGAATATTACTAAAATAAACTGATCCACATTTCAAGTGAGACAAGCGAATTTTTTTTTTGTTTTCGAACCGTATAATAACGTTGGAGGGGATCAACCGATTTTTAATTTTCGAGATTCGGATTATTGCTCATAGTTAATTGGGTATAACCACCTCCACCCTTTCGGAATCATGATCTGCATGATGATATCTGGAAGTGTGATGATTTTAGAAAAGTTTGAGGATAATATAATTGAAAAGGTATGAATACTCACTACACATAGACTTATCCACAAAAACCTCCGTCCGAGGAAAGACCTTGTTAACCGTACCATCCGCAACAAAAACATCAACACAAAAATCATTCTATTGTCTTGCGCCCCGAATCATGAACAGTGTCCCAGAAAGTATTTTTCTGAATTGTACCATGTCATTCAGCCGATATTCAACGAAAATATCCGAATATTTTCTAGAAACCGATATACACCATCTGTTTACAATAAATGTTTGACAGAAATACTCTCTAAGAAGTTCAATAAACTAAGCTAAAATATCTTTTCATCTCCTCTGATGAAGTATTCTTTTCATTTCGAATCTTTTTGCTCTTTTTTTTATATTCTTTATTTTTTTTTACAAACCCTGAAACAAGTATTAATTTACTTATTGGGGGTTGGCACTGTGAAAATGATGTGCAAGGACATCATTGAAAATTGTTCTTCTTTCTCTCTCTCTCCAGACACAGACATTCGGTCTTCTGGCTAGGAAAGAAATAGTAATAAGTGAAAAAACCAAATGTAATAATATTTGAAGAGTTGCCAATAAACCTATCTATCTATCTATCTATCTATCTATCTATATTTTCAATTTTCTTTTGACTGCAAAATCATGAAGCCTGATGTGTTTTCTCGAAATGGTTTCGAATTCACCAAGATCCATACAGGATGTTTTGAGATATGCAATTTTGAACTACATATGGCTTTTCAAATTGTTTGAATAACTTGAATTGATTGGTTAACCCCTCGGTATAGTCTAATGTTGTCTGGGAAATAACCAGAAGTTGTCATACTTTTGATTATTGTAATAAAATATGCCACGACTAACTAATGAACAATTACAAATGGTTCTCAGAATGAGAGATCGTGGATTGAATGTTGAAGAAATTGGACAGTATTTCTACACATCAAGAGCTTCAATATACAGGGCAATCCGTCGTCACGATCAAACTTCTGCGAGAAATGATAATTTCTTAGTTACAATTCGAAAAGCCATATGTTGTTCAAAATTTCATATCTCAAAACATCCTGTATGAATTTTGATGAATCTGAAACACATCAGGCTTCATGTTTCTGCAGAAAAAATTCAAAAAATTATCGTACTAGCGGGGCGACCTCAAACTTTTCTAAAATTATCACACTTTCAGATATCATCCTGTGAGTCATGATTCCGAAAACGTGGAGAGCTGTAAGAATTTTATGTTATACCCAATTGACTGAGCAATCCGAATCTAAAAAAAATCAAAAATCGGTTGATCCAATCCAAAGTTATTAGGTACGGTTCGAAAACAAACAAAATATTCGCTTGTCTCACTTCAAATGTGGAGCAGTTTAGATGAAAACAAGTTGATTTCAAAGAAGTGTAATAAAAACCTCTATTTTTAATACTAATAGGAAAGTATTGGGGTGAATATTATGTATGTTATACAATCTTAGAATTAGTGAAAAATATGTGCCACGCTGTTTATCATTTCTGGCGTGTTTCATCATCTCCATAGCCACCTAGCTCTAGAGGAAAAACGTACCTAATTTCCTTCTCTATACAATTCGTTACTCTCATTTTTCAGATATGGAGGTTAGCAGGCGAGCGTATCACAGAATTCTGCAAAGGTTTCCCCACCTACTTGATCAAAGACGAACCCTCCATCCAATACGATACGGACGTCGGCTATTCCAACGACCTGTCCAGCGATGACGTCACCATCAACACCCTTCGTCATAAGAGAGCGACCAGCCAGTTTTTCAGAGGTAGGGTCCGGGGACAGACTCAGTCGCAGTACCTGAATTTCGGCAAGTCTGACGAACCTGGCAAAGCCGAAGCCGAATCTACCTACGAGGGCTCCAAGGCGGTCGTCAGTAAGTATAATAAAAAAATAATTGTCCACCCTGAATTGATCCACCTGTTGCTCGAAACAAGAGGAAGCTTATTCTATCTAGTTCTAAGATGGACCTAGAAGGACTTCCGTCCTTGTTTATTTGGTCTGTTACTCAGCTGATCTGTTTTGGGGGGAGCTTTATCTTTTTTCGTCGAGGTTGAGCTCATAAGTTGTGAGCCCCTGAGGGGCTGAGCTTCTTTCTTTAAAAAAATATACTCCTTTTTCCAATAATAAAAATCTTCCAAAGCATCAGTCACGAACCTGACAAAGTTGAAGCTGAATCTACCTACGAGGGTTCCAAGGCTGTCGTCAGTAACTATTATTCATAGTAAATGTTGAAAAAAAAACAAATTGTCTACCCTGAATCGATCCACCTGCTGCTCAACTCAAGAAGAAGCTTATTCTATCCGAAGTCTTCATCTAGGGACTAGAAGGACTTTGGTCCCTTTGTTCACTCAGCTAATCTGTTCATGAATGTATTTTTTTAATTGAACGTAGTTTGTCCTAGCATATACACTTTTTGTTTCTCTACCTTTCGTTATCGTACCTCCGTATATTTTTGTTTTGACACTTGCTCCTATTTAGATCCCAATGAATCTGGCCTTGCTTGTAGAGGATTCAATATTTTCATTTTCCAATAATAAAAATCTTCAAACGCATCAGTCACGAACCTGACAAAGCTGAAGCTGAATCTACCTACGAGGGTTCCAAGGCTGTCGTCAGTATCTATTATTTATAGTAAATGTTGAAAAAAAAAACAAATTGTCTACCCTGAATCGATCCACCTGCTGCTCAACTCAAGAAGAAGCTTATTCTATCCGAAGTCATCTAGGGACTAGAAGGACTTTGGTCCCTTTGTTCACTCTGCTAGTCTGTTCATGAATGTATTTTTTTTAATCGTACCTAGTTTGTCCTAGCATAGACACTCTTTGTTTCTCTACCTTTCGTTATCGTACCTCCGTATATTTTTGTTTTGACACTTGCTCCTATTTCGATCCCAATGAAACTGGCCTTGCTTGTAGTGGATTCAATATGTTCTTTTCCCAATAATAGCAAAATCTACAAAAGCATAATGAGTCACGAACCTGGCAAAGCTAAACTCAAATCTACTTACGAGGGTTCCAAGACTGTCGGCAGTAAGAATCATCCTCAGTAAATGCTCCTATTTAAATCCCAATGAATATGACCTTGCTTGTAGTGGATTCAATATTTTCTTTTCCGAATAATAGCAAAATCTTCAAATTCATAGTGGGTTACGACGTTTCTATCTCTTTCAATGCACCAATTCGTGAATCAAACGTATGTACACTTTATGGACTTCCCTTGTAAAATCTTCATTTTCAGATCGGTTTCGATGATATTTTTCGTTGAATTAGGAACTCCTAACAGTGATCTTTGAAATTTGGTCGTAGCTCACTACGATTGGAGCCCAAAGAATTGAATCACACATTTGCTTAATGTGTATTTCAAATACCTACATAATAAAAACAAGAAGTTTATCAGTCATTCAAAGAATGAAAAGTCCTGAAGATTGACACACTGTAGATATTTTTCATAATAAAACTCGAAGCTACACATATTTTCATTTCCAGGTGGAAGCAATGGCATGGGTCAAGCCCAAAGTCAAAGTATCCCTTTCGGTTGCGAAGACTGTCTGGGACAAGGTGGATACGATCAAGAACAGACGATAGATGTCAGACCTTTCCGGCCTGGTGGTTACCCGGAACCCATCATAGAAGTACCCGGGGGCCCCATTGGTCCTGGCGGGCCAGAAGGGCGACCAGGACAAATCGGCAGACCTGGTCAAATTGGAAGACCAGGTCAAATTGGAGGACCAGGACAAATTGGTGGGACAGGCCAGATTAGAGGGCCAGACCATACTGGAGGTCAAGGTCCGATTGGTGGACCAGGCCAAGCTTGGGGACCAGGCCAAATTGGTGGGCCAAGCCAGATCGGAGGGCCAGGAAGTACTGGAGGTCCAGGTAAAATTGGTGGACCAGGCCAAGCTGGGGGACCAGGACAGATTGGCGTTCCAGGACAAATTGGTGTGCCAGGACAAATTGGTGTGCCAGGACAAATTGGTTCGCCAGGACACATTGGTGAACCAGGCCAGATTGGAGGGCCAGGTCAAATAAGGGGACCAGGGCAATTTGGAGGTCCTGAAGGAATTGGAGGTCCAGGTCAAACTGGAAGGCCTGGACAAACTGGAGGTTCCGGAGGAGTTGGGGATTGGACTGGGCAAATAGGAGTGCCAGGTGGACCAGGGGAAGTTCTAAGTCCTGGTCAAGCAGGAAGCCCAGGACGAACCAGAGAACCTGATAGAACAGGACGAGTTGGAGGTTGGCCAGGGCAAATTGAAGGACCTGGAGGATGGCCAGGGCAAGCTGGGGGGCCTGGAGGATGGCCAGGGCAAGCTGGGGGGCCTGGAGGATGGCCAGGGCTAGCTGGGGGGCCTGGAGGATGGCCAGGGCAAGCTGGGGGGCCTGGAGGATGGCCAGGACAAGTTGGGGGACCAGGAAGTTGGCCTGGACAAGTTGGAGGACCAGGTCAAATCGGAGGACCTGGTGGTTGGCCAGGGCAAATAGGTGGTCCAAGTCAAATTGGAGGACCAAGTCAAATTGGAGGTCCAAGTCAAATCGTTGGACCTGGTGGTTGGCCAGGGCAAATCGGTGGCCCAAGTCAAATTGGAGGACCAAGTCAAACAGGAGTCCCAGGCCGAATAGAAGGCTCTGGTGGAATAGGCGGTCCTGGACAGATTTATGGACCTGCACAAGTAGGAGGTTGGCCAGGTCAAACTGAAAAAGGAGCGTTTGGTGGCCAGTTATCAGGTGACTATCAAAGCGTACATGGACACAGCGGAAGATTTTATGGAAAGTTCACGGGGCAATATGAAGCATACGGTGCACACGGACCACCTAGGCCAGGTGAGCATGGATATGGGAAACCAGGTCAAGGAGGTGGGTGGCCAGGACAAACTGGTGGTCCTGCACAGGAAGGAGGGTGGCCTGAGCAACCTGGAAGATGGCCACCAGGACAAATTGGGGGAATTCCAGGAGGACAAGGCGTTTGGCCAGTACCAATAGGAGGATTACCTGGTCAAGTTGGATTGCCTGGTCAAATTGGATGGCCAGGCCAAATTGGATGGCCAGGCCAAATAGGTGGACCAGGTCAAGCAGGAGTTTGGCCTGGACAAATACAAGGACCAGGTCAAATAGGAAGTCCAGGCCAAATAGGAGTTCCAGGTCAAATTGGAGGTCAAATAGGAGGTCCAGACCAAATAGGAGTTCCAGGTCAAATTGGAGGTCAAATAGGAGGTCCAGGCCAAATTGGAAGTCCTGGTCAGATTGGTGGTCCAGGTCAAATTGAAGGTCCAGGCCAGATTGTAGGCCCTGGGCCAACAGGAGTGTGGCCAGGACAAGGACCAGGTCAAATAAGGGGCCCTGGTCAAATAGGAGGCCCAGGCCAGATAGGAGGCCCTGCCCAGGTAGGAGTTTGGCCAGGACAAGTACAAGGGCCCAGTCAAATTGGAGGTCCAGGCCAGGTAGGGGTTTGGCCTGGTCAAAGACCAGGACCAAGTCAAATTGGAAGACCAGGTCAAATAGGAGGTCCTGGGCAGGTAGGAGGTTGGCCAGGACAAGTACAAGGTCCAAGTCAATTTGGCGGCTCAGGTCAGGTAGGGGTTTGGCCTGGACAAGGACCAGGTCAAATTGGAGGTCCTGGTCAAATAGGAGGACCAGGTCAGATAGGAAGACCAGGTCAAATAGGAGGCCCGAGTCAAATAGGAGGTCCAGGACAAATTGGAGGTCCTGGCCAGGTCGGAGTTTGGCCTGGACAAGTACAAGGGCCAGGTCAAACTGGTGGGTGGCCTGGACAACAAGAAAGACCAGGCCGAGTGGATCAAACACCCGGCATACCTGGCGGTGGACCTCTTCCAATTATTGACGGTCGATACCCTACTGGAGTGGATTCGGACGACTCTGACTCCCAAGTCCAAACTTCCGTCCTGCAGACTAGTAACGGCACCATGGCGCAAGCAGAAGCTCAAGGCACTTTCGGAGGTGGCACAGCTCAGTCTCAGGTGTCCGGAACGTATTCCGGTTCAGGCTCATTCAGTGCATCGGCGGGATCAGATGACGGCAACCGAGGAGCGAAAACTCAGATAGAGGGAGGGGAAAACGGTGCTGAGAGTTCGGCTCAGGGGCGGGGAGGCAAAGGGCAGTCCCAGGCGCAAGTGGTACTGTCTTCTGACACTGGAAATACTCTATCGAGCGCACAGAGTGGGGGGTTGAGTCATGCTACCCAATCACAAGTGCAGGCGTCAGAAAAAGGTGGTTCGGCTGATGCACAAGCCAACGGTCCAGGAAATACTTCTTCCCAAGCACAAATAGGGTTCGTACCTTACGATGGAAGGGAAGCAGATAATCAGACGGTGCCGTTCAGAGGTGGTGGTACCGCTGGGGCACAAGGAGGGGCACTTTCTGGGATGACACAAGCACAGATTCAGGGCAAATTCGGATTCGGCGTGAGATATACAGGAGGGGCTCAAGCGGCTTCGGGAGATTTCAAGGCGAACTCTACCAGGGATGGACCATTCAAACCCCTGAAATTCGATACGACTTCGTCGATAGCGAAAGAGAAGCTTTCGCAGAGTAGGCAAGACAGGCAAAGCCAAGTGGGTTTGCTGCATGTGCCAAAAAGTCCCAGGAATACTACTACCACTACCACAGAGCGTACCTCAGAAAATTCGGCTCCCAAGCAATCTAACGTAGAAACAGCCGATGAAGTGAAAGATTACAACGAAGATTACTATGATGAGGAGTATGAAGGTGATACTGAGAAACCGAAAACGAGGAGCCTTGTTAGTCAAACGGACGAGTATCAAAGGCAGCACATAGTGCTGGATCCTTTGGAGGATCTGGATCTGACTGTGCATCAGAGCAAAGGAGATTTTCCTAGTGAAGGTAGTGTTATACAGCCCGGTGAGACGATACCAGGCACTCCTGGGTATAGAATACCACTAGGGTTCCGAGGAACTGTCAAATCAATCGCTAACGGGCACAACACTTTCGCTATAGGAAGGCATTCGCAAGCGCAAAGCGTTACTTTGTCACCTGGTAGCGGGAAAATAATCTACAAGAAGCCCTTTTATGCTGTCTCTTCTGATACTCACCTGAGGAACGGACAGTATGGATACGGTTCCGGTTATACTTACCAACCAGCTTACTCTCCAGTTAGTTATCAACTCAAGAACGGTAAGGTATTGCCTAATTTTGTGTCGATGACCAAATCCGAGACTGGTTCGAGGAATTTGGTGACGGGAAAAAAGACTCCTAGCATTTACTATACGCAGTCGTCTAGTTGCGGTATATTCACTAACCACTGTGTGTTCAATGCCGGAAGGAAAATGTGCTTTCCCAAAGCGAAAACGAATCCAGATGGCACGATTATGGGGTGCTGACGTATTATTAGGTAGTCGTTAGGTTATTCCAATTGTTCGGATGAAAGACATTTTTTATAAGAAAATAGAAAATATAAAGTGGAAAATCTTAGCTGGCGTTTTCTTGAGCTTTATTTTCATGGCACCGTTTTGCGTTTTTCAATTTGTTTCTTGAATGGCCGTTTGTGTCAAGCGTATAGAGAGTTTACAGATAGTATTTGGCAATGTCAGAAGAATATTCTCAATAATCATAATTCCAATTCGAAATCCTCAAGTGAACTGTAGACTTCAGATCATAATTTTTCAATTCGATATTTCAGAGATGTCAATTTTTGAACGACTTCGCAAAGGGATTTTTGTAGTGAAAAACAGGTATAAAAGTTGAAAATAAATATTTATTGCAAAATTTACATATCATTTGTACAGGTAAAAAAATATAATAAATTAGTGAACACATATAGAAGGTTTCAGGTTTGAATTCTTGATTATTTGTATAGTGGTATGTTTGAAAGGAAACTTAATCATAAAAATTCATTGGTGTCATCGTCGCTACCCATATCGAGCATTGTGCCCCGATGGGAAAGTAGGCTTGAGGAACTGCAGTTACGTAACCTAACGAACAAATATTTCAATATCGGTTACAATGAAATTTACACAGATACTCAATAGTCATGTACATGCGAAATACATGTTTTTCATTGAAAACTCAAGTTTTAAGAATATTCTGCCAATTGGGCTAATTGTAAGAATCATCTTGCAATAGGCGAGTGGATCCGTTTTTTTATTTCTTAAACAGAATGATCACTGAAATATCTTTCAATGTCATATATTTTTTTAATTTTTCGGTCGATTTTTAGGTGCTGAAATCATCGATAATGTCACGGTAATTTTCAAACGGATAGAAATTTACCGCCATAATCTTGCAATCAAGCCTTAATCCACAGCATAATATTAAAATTATATATTCAACCAAAAAATCATTTTTTTACATTGTGTCCGTTTAGGTTCTAAAATTCTACCAGATAAAAAATTCTGTCAATATTTTTAACGCCCTGTCAACAAATTAGTATGAATTACTGAGAGGATGAGAATAAATGTTGAAGAATTCCAAATCCACTTACCATAATCATGCTATTCAACATTCCTGTCTTAGTCTACTAATGTAAAATTGCCTTCATGCCTCTTTGTCATACAAATCGAGTTATGTTAGCCTGGGTACCATGCAACTGACATTCAAAAATATCATTAAAAGAACATCTTTTGATAAAAATGAAAAAGTAGAATGTTTTTTTCTTTCATTCAGTACTTACACAATCATTTTCATCAAACTGGGCCATTTCCTCCCCACCATCTTCCTTTTCCATACTACAGAGAAAAAGCATACAATTTAGAGGTTATATAGGTTAGTATTGGCTTCAGTAGGAATAATTGCATTACTTTTTCGAAGAGTCACATTTGACTAGAAATTTTATTTCTAAAGGTGGTTGCTAAAAAAGTGTTCATAGAAACGAATGGAATGATCATAGAAGAAAATCCACAATAACTTTAATTGTTTAGGAAAAATTCCAGAGTTGTCTCAAAACACACAGTATAATGTGTTCATAAGCACTAGAAGACTGATTGAAATATAATAATATATTCAAGAATAATATTGTAAACATACAGGACAGCTCTAAGCTGAAAAAATAACTTGAAAATGAGATAATTTCATATTCCCTTGAATATTAATACTAAGTTCCTCAAATATACCAGCAAAATTTGAATGAAAATGAATTATTTTTCGTATCTAAATGGCTTTATGAAACATAGAAATTTTCCTCTGCGTCCGATTTGACCCATTTAAAACACAATATGTGTTAAATGTATTTATTTTTACCTAGTATATGATCAAGGCCTACGGTCACTATAGAAAATAGGAAAGAAAAAACGAAATACAACCTCAGTAAGTAGCTCATTAAACACGGTAAGCAAATCGCACAGTTTTTGGAAATTCTGCAAGTATGTCATGATCTCATAATCGCTGTCAACAGCGTTTGAAATAGCAACTGTCAAAAACAAAAATTATGCAAACGAACCGTTTTCAAAGACAAATACACTGTATATGGCCGAAGGATAAGTATAGTATGTAATGCGTGTTGTAAAGCAATTACCGAGGGGGAAACAATTCTCTAAATAGGTATACACCATAGAATTTTGAGTACTTCAAGTATCATTTTTAATACATTAAGTACAATTTAATAAGCTTTTAAGTTCGTTTTAAGTACTTCAGTATTTCAGTATCTCTTAACAGTACTTTGAGTACCAGTTTTAAGTATTTCAAGTACTTTTTAATTACCAGATATTTAAATATGGAATCCATTCGTGCATAATATGCTTCTTACGACACATATTACGTAATATATTCAATTCGTCTATTTCTTGCTGGTGGAATGATAGAGTTGAAGGAAAGTAAGAAGGCATTCTAGTAAATAAAGCTTTAAGCGAAAAAGTCCAACACCCCTGAGAATTAATTCATATGTACTAGGTAGGAGAATGAGAAAAATGTTCCAGTGAACATGATAGGCTTCCCTGAAGATGTTTTTATCATAATTTTTTAAAAGGTTTGAGATGAAATAATTATATAATTTTATTTGTATACTAACTTATTATGTCAAATTGAAAAATATAGTTATTTATTATACAAGGGAAAAAAGTAGTAGATTTTAGCTCCAGGTTGTGTTGTCACAAAAAACCGTGAGCTAAAATCTAATATTTTTCCCGTGTATAATACACTATTTTTTTCTGTGACAGAACGATGGACGAATTAATATTGGGAAGATATTACATTATTTCGAAATCTGAAAATTATCGACGTGAAATTTCAAGTTTTTAACAATAGGGACACCTGCGTTTTATAGACATCTTTATCATTCTTTTGAAGTAATCAAATATCTGATGTCACTTCTGTCAGTTCAATTCTGTGATTTGATTTTAAAAAATTGCGAATTCAGTAGTTGTTTAGTAATATACGAAACCGCGAAGTCGAATGGAAGATAAAAGGACTTGCAGTTCTTTCTCGGAGACGGTATTATTGACTTATTTTTCGGAACTATAGCACAACAAAAGCCAACAGAGTATATATATGTGATATATATCCGGGAAAGAAGTACTCACTTTTTTCCCACGGGAAAAAAGTAATTTATGAAAAGTGACATTTTATAACCTTCCAACAGAGATGAAATGCCAAACTTTTTTCCCGTCACAGAAAAAAAAACTTTTTTCTCCAAACGGCAGGAAAAGTGGCTTTCCTCTAACACTTAACTGGCAGGAAAGGTGTACTTTCACTGACTAGGCAGGAAACTATGTTGCCGCGCCCAACTTATAAAGCGTCCCACACGTTAAACTGAAATTGTACCATTGTGGTACATTATTTCTGATCAGCAAAAAACACAATTATAACGGACCTTGAAATGGGTTTTCCAGAAGTAGATGGCTCGTTCCCATCAGATTTGGGTAGATAAAATAGGTTTAGAAATAAGATTTCACTCACTTATCCATCCTTAGGGATATTTCATTCACATTACCCGTCATGGTTGAATAGATTAAAGCTGATAATCCCATTTCATTGATTAACCGTGACGTAATTTCCGTTTGGGTACACCTACCCTACCTGCCCTTGGGTTTACCAACTCCATAGTTGGTAAATTTGGTTAAAGGTAAACTTGAATATTTGTTCACAAATGATCAATGTGGAAAATGGAGGAAGAACATTCAAATTGAAAATGAATGGAGTGAATTTTGGAGTAAGAGATACACAGGTAAAGTGTAGAAGTGGGTAAAGTGAAAGAAATAGGAATTCAAAAATAGTTAATGTTGATACTAAATACTCTAACCGGGTCTAACGGGAAATGTGAATGAAATATCCCTCTTATGTTCTTAATACTTCGGTAGGAGAATTGAAAACAAAGGGAATACGACATACAACCTGTGATACAACCGTTGGGGAATGACAGGTAGGGTATTCTGTGCAGAATCTTCACCATACATTAAGAAGGGTAGATGGCGCCCGCATACAGAACACAAAAATGTGTTTTGTATGAAGAAAGTAGCACATCACATGTCTAGTTCTTTCACTATACAAGGAAAAGTTTGTTGCTATGCAACGTTCCAAGAAATTTGAATGAAATTGGTAATCAAAATTGAACACATGATGAAGTTTTCAGTGAAATTGTTTTTTCAACATTTGGAGAAAGAATTATATGTTTCACATGGCAGTAAATGTAAATTGACTGTTCAGCTATGAACTATCAGCCGCGGCAGTCAATCAACTACTTTGCAGTGAAATTGTTTTTTCAACATTTGGAGAAAGAATTATATGTTTCACATGGCAGTAAATGTAAATTGACTGTTCAGCTATGAACTATCAGCCGCGGCAGTCAATCAACTACTTTGCAGCCTAGAAAAATAAATAACTATTTTTTCCAGGCCAAACTGTTTGTTAGTTATTATTTTTGACTTTCCACCACAACAATTGAATATTGTGAAATGTTTCCATGGAATTAGTACTTTTGTTTGACATGGTTTGACCATGATTCTTTGCTTTGCTGCCACGTTCTAATACCCCGATCATTAATCGCTCTCATTAGTTAATAAAAAAAACTATCGCAGGGCAGTTCAAGTTATTAAATCTCAGCATCTCCCCAACCAATCAACCACCCACCTGGTGTGCAGATGCTGCAGCTGCACCTGCAAACCGTCCACCTGCTCCTGCAGCTCCTCGTTGCTGCGTTGCAAGCGCCGCGCTGCGTTTCCCGCCGCGTCCAGCTCGTCCTCGGCTGCCGCCAGGTCACGTTTCAGTTCTTCGATGCGCGCGCGCAGCTTTTTGACTTCCGTTTCGTATTGTTCGGCGCGGCGTGCACAGTGGGCAAGTTCGGTCGTTTTGTCTTGGGCGGTTTTTTTGTACTTTATTTGGGCGTGCCGTAACTCCGAGATTTCCTGAGGAGGATTATTAATTGACGTTGATGGAAAGTGTTTCTGTACGTATTTTCATTTCATTCAATTTATTTTTAGTGGCAAATACAGTAGAGTTACTGTACCGTTCAGAATAACATGAATCTAGGTCTTTAAATGCAGATTTCTTCAATTATCTTTGATATCACTGATCCTAGAATCACGAAATTTGGTGATTATACAATTATTGAATTTATATTATTGTCAAATTGAAAGCCGACACTCATGTCTATATGTATTTCACAATAAAGAAAAATGTCACATGAACATTTTTCGCCATGGAGTCAATACTAGACAAAAATATGATTTTTTTATACCCCTTTCAGTAGGTTGAATGTAACGACAAATTCGCCCAATATCACAGAAACGAATATTTTTAACGCTCTACCTAATGAACTAAAACTATGTAAGACCTCAAATTGTTTTAAAAGATAACTTGGTGTTGTTAGAGGAACATTCGTATTACTCCGTGAATGAACATTTTTCTCAAGTATTTTAATTCAAATCTAACGTTTTATTTATAATGTATTGATTTGTGATTTCGATTATTACCTACAATACCAACTATCATATCATACTTACCAAGTGTAATACTATATTTTCCTATTGTTGTTTTCCATGTACTATTGTATTATATTGTATTATCCATATTCATTTTTGTGTTTTTTTGTATTAAATTTGGAAATTTCCATTGCAAAACAAAACTAGCTGGAAATGTGATGTGATGAATATCAAGTTCCTGGCTATATGCCCGGACAAATGAATAGAAATATAGGGAAATGATGTTTTTCATCATCTATTTTTCAGATTCAACTTCCAACTTAAGTTTATCTAATGGCTTTTTTCTTTTCATTGCTTCTGTATTTTAAAATGCTAAATGATAATGTGATCCAAAAGTAGGTATATTTACAAAATTTTGTTTGTTCTTGAGTATTTCACAAAAGGAATAATATCCATTATACATAATATATTCATAATTTTTTTGAAATTTATCAAAATACTATGATTTCAAAATATATCCTAGATATAAAGTGATGTTATATGTTTAACCATCTGTAAATTTGATATACAAAGTGATTGTAAAACCTAATGAAATATATCAAAATGAAAAATAAGTAAATGTTTTATTCACCTTATTTTTATCAGTTATCTCTTGCTGCAGATGCCTTATCTCAGCATCTGAATTCGTTAATGGCCTCCCTTTCCGTTCAATTCTCTCTTGCATGTCTCTTAATTCACTCCTCAATTTTTTGTTGTCCCTTTCCATGGCAAGTTTTTCCGTTTCCAATCTTTCCCTTTTACCCCATTCCGCCGCATTTTCGGCCTGGAGCCTTTCCAACTGAAATATCATTAATTATGGCTTCTGACTACAGGGTGTTCCACTTAAATGTGTCACTTCCTTCATCCTCATGATTCTTAACATATTTTGGTAATTTAAAAACTTCTCTGGAATATTTTTTCAAGAATTTTTTGAACCTGTGCTTACTTTTTCTTTATATCAACGAATTACAGGGTGACACAAAAAATTATCTATATTTTTGTCCATAATTTGATGAAGCACAACAATCTAAGATGAAAAATATATATCATCCATATATTATCAGATAAAATTTAGATCAATTCATTTGAATAAAAAAATTTTTAGCCACCCTGTATTTAATTGATATGTGGAAATTCGAAAAAATCCAGTAACGTTTTTGAATTGCCAAAATATGATGAGAATTATTACCATTATCAGGGGGGTGACACATTCTAGTGGAACACCCTGTATCTTTCAAAGACATTTTTGCATTTTCAATTGGAAAGAATCCTAATAGGGAATATTAAGGTGACTTTTATACCAGAGTTGGAAGAATTGAAATCAATAGATTCAAAAAACAAGATGTAATAGAATCACATGATTTTTTCAATTTCAATAATGATTAAAATCAGAATTTCTGATGATATAATTGAGGAAAAATGAAAATGTTTAGTCCTAATTAATGGTTTATTATATCAAGAAATGAGGGACTGTATTTAAGTAATGTTCATTCTAGAATTATTGCAGTATTTGTACACAAATACAGATTTTGCAGCATTAAAAATAGGGAATTGTCTTATTTATAGGAAAAAAACAATTGAAGTAGAAAAAAATCAAAAGAAAAGAAAGAATTGTTATTTTTTTATAGGTATTTTCAAAATGGTGATTTTTCAACCCTTTTTAAACCGCACAGGGTGTTATTTTGACTCAATCCCACTCATCTGATTCACTTATGAAATTTTATATTATTATGTATATGATGAGACTTTTTGAAGCTTTCCACAGAAAAAAACTCAAGATGGAGCATCCAAAATGAGAAAAACTATTCATTCTTTCGTCTGATAGCTTGAAAATGTTCACATTTGAGGGTTTTGAGATGATTATTCAATAATTTCATTTTCATATCAGAACAAAAATGATAGTGACACTTTTTATTCATTTCTTGCTTATCACATGAAAATGTACATAATTATTGAAGTTTTCAAACTGGAAAATTAGGAATTTTGAAATCAAAACCAAGAATTTGAGCCATATAAGTATCTGTCCACCTTTGATTTATTACCATGAATTATTATTGAATCTGATCTTTCAGGAGTCAACTCTTCATCTTATTTCCTAGGGATACTCTGAAAACAAATCATAGTTTCAAAGGAGCCTAATTAAAAAAACAAATTCATCATTATCACATGATATAATATTCATTTTGCAAATGAAATATAATTTTTACCTCAGCTCTCAAATCACTCAGTCTTTTATCCATCCCTTCCCTAGAATTCGCCTCATCCTGTAGATCAGCCTTGATCAACTGTAGCTCCTTCTGATGCTCATCCTGTAGAAGCAAGATATCTCTCATGGTATCTTGCCTGGCATCTCTGAGTTCCTCACATTTTTCTTTAGCTTCTTGCAGATCACTTGTCAATCGTTCAATGGTGTGGTGTAGTTGTGATTTTTCACTAAATATCATTACTATTTGCAATTACTGAACTAGATTATGAAAAAGGGATTTGAAAAAATATGTCCCTAATAGGTTTTTTCAATAAACCAATTTTGATCCAACATATTCATGGATTCATGTATTTATTTATTCAACAAAACTGTGATATTTGTAATTGAAAGATATTGAATAGTTAACTTTCTGCCATGTGTGTTGTGTTTGAAATGAATCATTGTTCAAAATGCACTAAATTCATATACAAATGAAATCAACACATAAAAAATTGATATGTTTGATCCAATAAGATCAAGTTTCTTAGCATTCCTTGAAAACCAGGTTTAATTTCTGTTTTCAAGAAAAATATAGTCAAACTAATCTCCTCATAAAGTTTAGATCCAATGATATAATCTCTGATAAAACAGCATTTCACATAATTTTTGAGTTTCATATTTTTTAAGTCAAACAGCATCTATTTTGACACAAATGTCTGGGTTAAAGATAATTTCAGAGAATAATAGGTGTGATTATTTTTTCAATGGGACTTTACTAATAATTGTATTTTACATCAGTTTCAGATCTCATGGAAACATTCAAATAATTTGGAGGTTTTCTGAGTCAAACAGTGTCTATTTTGACACAAATGTTTGGAACCATTATAACAATGGTTATAGATAATTTCAGAGGATATGCTAGAGGATTGGTTTGATTCTTTTATTAGTCTGAGGTTTGATTTTATTAAAGGGACTTTCCTAAATGATCCTACTAATTGTATTTCACATCAGTTCCAGATCTCATGGAAACATTCAAATTCCTAAATATGAATGCTCTACTCCAATCCAAAATATGACTTACTTGAAGAAGATGAACCATGGAGAAGCAAAGTGGAGTGAAGAAAAATGTATTGGATACAGGGCTTTAATATTTTGTGAAAACAATTACTAGGTGAGTTTTCTATCTCAATATTCAATAAGCAATAAAAACATATCACACACTATAGAATTAAGAAATTTCAAAACTCACTCTCTTTCAACTTGCAAAATTTTGGTGGTCTCCTCAAGTCTCAGCTCAACCATGGACAGTTTCTGAAGAAAACACTCTTCATCATACTCTCTATCACTACTTTTCTCAACTCCATTTGTTGGTTCACTATCAACTCTCCTTTCACTTTCTTTCAGGTACCTAGGTACAGCTCCTTGAAGAACATATTCTTCAATATTGTCACTATCTACACTTTGAACCACCTCAAAAAAAAAAATCATCACACTTAGCACAGTTGAATAATGCTGTTTTACTTACTGCAGTACTATCACATTCAGGATTTGAATGAGAGGAAGATACCCCATTTTCTCTCTCTTTCACTGGTGACTCACTACTAAACCCAAATTCCTTGAGAGGATCATCTCCTAGGGCTTCTAATATCTGTGAATCAAACTGCCCAGCATGTTTGAGCAACAGAATATGGATCCTTTCTATCTCCTTCTTCAGCTGATCATTCTGAAGCTCTAAATCTTCTTTGTCCCTTTTGCTGGTACTGCCATCCTTTAGGAGGGATTCCAGTTTGGTACGAAGCTGTTTGCACTCCTCTCGGGCTTTGTTGCGTTCGTTGCGGACCTTGCTCCATTTTTCTCGCCAGTTGGCTGTGCAATCGGACCACCATCGCATCGTTTTTTCCATTTGGGCAGCCCTACCTTTAGCTTCTTCCAGTTCCCTTTGCCTCAAAGCCTAAACACATTGAGAGAGTTATTTGCGAGGTTATTTGGCAGTGCACTAGTGGGTATATTAGTGGGGTTCTTACCTCATTGGCTTCCCACTCAGAAATATCAGCAATCCTGGAGGATGTGATTGAGGCTGTATCATGATCTCTGGCATGTCTTCGGGAAGAAGTGCCGCTGGTGGTGCTTTGCGCCATTTTTTTCAAGATCCTCACTTCATCTGAAAAAAACGTGATTTGGATAATCGAACAAAATTACTAGCTTCCAGGCCAGTCAATATTTTGTTGATTCCGAATTCCGATTTATTTTTATTTACACAAATATCACAAAGTCACAAATGAAGTGAAAGTTCGTGACAGCCTGACAGCTGACACTGCTGACAGCAGACAGCTTTCTTGACAATTAGGCATAGGCATATGACTGGTTTACAGAGTTCTTTCTTTTGATTCTCGACTTTTTTCCATTGAACTCAATGTAAGGCATATGTAAGGATGTTTACCATATTTACATTGAGTTCATTACTTTTTTCTCATAAACTTCCCAGTTCTGACTTAGAAATACTTGGCAGCTGTGATTTTTTAATGATTTTAGTTTCGAGGTTTTTCGATAAGATGGCGTTGGCGGTTTCGTTGCTGCTGTCATGATGCACATTCAAATGTTTTTCACGGTTTTTCCAGCGTTTCATGTTTATGTTTTGTAATGCGAAATTGCGAAAAAAACTCAATTACCTATATTTTTTACGTTATTCTTTGTGTAGTTTTTATTCCGTTTCAATGAAGCCTCAGTTTATACGTGTCTGAACTGCCATCCCAGAAACACTTTTTTTTCACGAATATTTGCCTAAATTACAGTTGCAACTGCAGATTAGCACTAATTTACAATTATCGTGATTGCAACTGTAAATTAGGCAGATTAGACGCAGTACAATCGCGTGTGTGTGTATTTTTGAGAAACCGCAATTTTTGGATGGATTGGTAAGTGATCATCTTCACCTCAGACCTCAAAAGTAAAGTTCGTGATTATAATTTCATATTGTTACCTATTATATATACCTGATATTCCCGATTATTCCTATATATACACAGTGTGTGTTTTCAAAAGAAAATTAAACTATCGGCTGAGCTGAGCATCTCATATACACTGTGTGAATACTCAAAAGATGCGTTTGAATAATTTTCCAGAAATAAACATAATTTACAATCGACTTCGTCTAGTTATATACCTACCAATGATACCTACATATAGAAGAATCTATAGTCTTTTCAGAGATTCAGAGTGATTCGGAGTCAACCGGAGTACCTAGGTATATCTTCGACAAAAAATAACATACACCGCGCAGTCAGGTCCGTTGGCGCACATTTCTTGCTGGAGGTTGTCAAATTTACCTGCGTATGACCATGTATGACCATAGATGAAAGCGAGGATGAAAGGGTTTGGTTCATCTATGGCACAGATGGTATGGCATATACAGGGTGTATCTAAATAATACCGAAACAATTCAAGGGATGATTCCTTGTGATATTTTAGGAATTAAAGTTCATGTGAACATGTGTCCTAACTTGCTTCGTTTTCGAGATACAGAGGATATCAATATATTTCCATGGAAGATCGTTTTTTCATTCATTAATTACTCAATTATTGTCTTTTCATCAATTTCATTGAAACGTTGTGGTTTTGTTAATAGTAATATGGAGCTTTTTCTGGTGCATATTCGAAATGATATCTCCAGTGGCGTCACAGTTGGTAAAATTTATCGATATTTTTGGTGAATGTCATCGCCACCGGTTATTCTGAGTTTCATATTCTTATTAGATTGAACTACTTAAATAACAACTTTTTCATCCCCTGATGGAAACAATTGAAATCCGACCTGACTCCAAATGTAATGTAGCTATTTTCAAGACTTCCATTGAGATTACTCAATAACCCCAAATACAATCATTTTGAAATTTTGGGGCTTACTCAGTCTCCAACCATACTGAATTTTGGCACCATGAAAAGTTATACAGTGGTGTTAGAAATAAAAACAATTAATACTTCCAACTTTTAACATCCTGTATCTCAAAAACGGAGCAAGTTAGGACACATGTTCATGTGAACTTTATTTTCTAGAATATCACCCCTTGAAATTTTTCGGCGTTATTTAGATACACCCTTTGGTGTAACGATCAACCGCAAATGTATATGCAACGCACATATTACCATTTGATTGATCATAGAAGGAAGACCGCAAATTGAATTTGACTTGAAAAAACTTTTTTTCACAAATTAGTGGAATAAATAATCTAATTTTTGGGTTTCGTGGAAAAAAATCGATAAAATTTGAAGGGACTGTGGTATTTTCTTTGGTAAGTTAACAAAATTGGTATTGAATCATAAACACGATAATTCCTGCATGGATGGTCCAGCATATTATGGATATGAGTATTATTGTTTTCAAATTTGGAAAATGTAAGTTAAGTATAAGAACTAAAATAGTCACAACTCTCTAGTGTCTTTCTTTATATACATAGGTATACTATAATTAAGGTATCAGCTCATTATTTTGATTCATTGCTTAGTTCATTAATAATACCTAACTAATTTATTATATACCTGTCTGTCTAAAGATAAAGACATCGACGATATAAGTATAGATATACCAGGTAGCTATAGGTATATATTTACATATACATAATACAAACTGTATCAGTAAAATAATTGTAAATCGTTATATTTTCATTCCCTGAAAGTTATTACAAAATGTGTTATTACGTTCGAGTTTTATTTGCAATTGGCTCCAGATAAGTAAGGTCTAGTAAGTAAGCCTAGCTTCCAGTGGCGTGCGTTGGGGAAAAATAGTCAGATAACATAATAATAAAATGAAATCGACGATCCTAGAGAAAATAATACTTACACGTGTATCATTCTGAAAAATGTTGGACCTTGATAAGCAGACTACCTTAAAACCCTTGTATAATATGGTGTCGTCTGTTGTATAATTGATATAGTTGCGCAATAGTTGGTTGATATTTTTTTCATGGATTCCCCAAGCAATTTTTCACATATTTGTTGATCTGAAGAAGAAACTAATGTCATCATGAATTATGCGAGGAAGTGGTATTAAAAAATGAAAAGGGGTCAATTTTGCATAAAATCATATTAGGAATTTTATTACAGGAAAACTGACCTCATAATTAATATTGTTTTCATGGTTCCAAACCCCGATATGTAAATTTTCATATGATTCCTATGAAGGGTTTCAAAAAAACAGGCACATATAAATTTTTGCGTACGTAATAATTATTTACTCGGAAACGGTGAGTTCAACAAAAATAGTATATTCTGTTTTTTCTTTCAAATCATGATTTTCTACCTATCGCAGCCATTCAACGTTCCAAAATTTGCAGTTAATTTGAGTTAACCATTATTTTTCGAGGCTGAAATTGAGAATATTCAGATCAAACCTGTTAATTCGGAATGAGGTAATTTTTTGTATATTTTATTGAGGTTCGGGAACATGAGGAACAATGATATGAAAAATTCCTTACCTATATGATTTCATAAAATTCGATCCCTTTTTATTTCAATAAAAAAGCACTGTCCAAAAAGATGTCCATCTCTGGAAAACTGATCATGTTGATAATTATCCATACCGGTCCAAATTTGGTATGAATCGCACAACTAATAGCTGAGAATCAGTCGGGAGAAATCCATTAAAATGTGCATGCTTATATTTTAGAATACGCTCTCTTCATTTAACCTGTTTTCGACAATGCAGTGTTGCCGCTTCTACTAGAAAGTAGTAGCAACATTGATATTTCAAATAGAACACCCTGTATTTTATCGCATTTTTTGATTCTCCCTGATGAGCTGATTTCATCGATGTACCACACTATGGGGTCTACCAAAAAAAATATTCAAAATCGAGATTTTTCAACTTTACCATTTTTTTGTGTCGAAACTATTCATTATCGGTCAAAACGGATCACATGTCACAATTTCAAAGTTTGATTCACTATTTACTGATATTTTATTGGAACAGATACAGGGTTGTATCAAAATTTCTGATCACGGTTATTTGTCTCCCGACGCGTAGTGGAGGGAGACCTACTTTTTACCTTGTATATTGAATAGCTATTGATGAACTCATGATACATTTTATTGAAACTGTCATAAGCTGGAATAAGTAAATCAATGTCAGAATGTCAAAATGATCATTTTGTCGCGAAACCTCATCCCGAACTTTTGAAGACCATTTTTGGTAGCAGCACTGCCTTACCTACTCTACGCCACTGGCTACCATCGAGCAGGTAAATTCTCGACTTAACAGTTAACAGTACCCATCTCCAAAGGTGTACGTGGACTCTGTCGAGACCTCGACTTCTTGAATCGGTGAGTCGCCATCACGTTCAATGACCCCACCTCTGTAGGTAACCGACCAAAATCCAAATAGGCCTCGAAATAGGCGCTCAAAAATGTGAAAACCCCCTAGAAAACGCGCCATTGTTATTCGCTTTAGGTGATAAGAAACGTTGCTGTTGCTATTTATTCCACGTCAGTGATATCAAAAACCAACCGCGAGTGACATAAGGAGAAATGACGGTGCCCCCTAGACAGAAAAACGGAGTTTTCGGGGGGTCGAAAAACACCCCCCGAAAGAGCGTTGCATGGGCGTACGTGTACTGGTTCTTCGGGGGTATATTCGGGCTGCACTTGTTCTATTTGGAGCGAGATGCTCATGCTTTTCTAACGTGGAGCACCCTCGGGGGGTATGGTTTGGGATGGTTGGCTGACATCACGAAGATACCAAGGTATGTGAGGGATTGCAATGATGATCCCGGGTTTCTGGCGGAGCTGGGAGAACGGATGAGGAGGAATCGGAAGGTAAGTGGTGGAAGGTTTTTTTATTTGGTTTTTGGGGTTGGTAGAGCTAGAGGGGTCGATTTTTGAGATTCTCTGGGAATATACAGGGTGTCCCAAAATTGGCCTGCCAAACTCCACCAGCGGCTTCTTCGACCGAAAATAGGAAGAAAAGGTCCAATCAACGTGAGTCGAGAAATGTCTCCCAAGGGAGCTACGGCCCTCTGGAAGGAGGCTCCTGAAGATGATATTTCTTGAATATTTCCGAAACGCCACGTGATAAAATTATGCAATATAGTACGAGAACTGGACTTTCCATGTCCAATGCGGTGAACATAATATCATTTCAGAGTTTTATTCAAGGTGGGATACTACCTACATCAAATATTGCTCAAACTTTTTCGTATGCATATTTCTTGACAATTTCATCTGGGATTATGAAAATCCACATTGTTTCACAAAAAAGGTGTAGGTATCATTTTCGAGTGAAATCGATTCAAAAATATTGATGCACTCACATCTTATTCATGACGTTGACAATTTTCAAATCATAGTCGCTATAAAAAAATCGAGTACTTTCCTTTCACCAAACAATCTCCTAAAAGCGCAATAAGAAGTGGAAAAATGATGATGAAAAAACTACTTCAGTTTTTGTACATTTTTTCCATTTCCACTACGCCTCATTGCAATGTTATGCATATCTGAGATGTAACAATATTTGCAAATTGCTTTTACTTTTCTGTAAAGAGGTGCGAATTTTCATAATCCGAGATTAAATTGACGAAAAATATGCATACAAAAATTTTTGAGCAATATTCAATGTAGTCCCACAATGTATTATACATTTCTGATTGGAATTTTGGAATGATTTGATTTTCACTGCATTGGGCATGGAAAGTTTGGTTCTTGTACCAAATTGCATCTGTTTATCATATGGAGTTTCGGAAATACTCAAGAAATATCATCTTCAGGAGGGAGCCGCTGGTAAAGTTTGGCAGTCTAATTTCGGGACACCCTGTGTATTTTTTTTTAAATCCGAAATCGAATAAGTAGGTATCATAGATTTGAACACATTTTAATTTGATAATAATAATTATAATATTAATAATAATCCTTTGAGTTCCAAATTTTCTGATCCAAAATATTGTGCCGATTCCGAATCTTTTTGTATTTAGGTTCCAGTCCTGACTAGGTCCAAATAGTTCTCCTGAAATTATTATTTTCTAACTTTTCTACGCTATGATACATAGGCGTTTCAAGAAAAATTTCCAGAGGGAACTGAAATTTAATTGTATAATTCAGGAAAGGCATCGTCAGGTATTTCGACGGGTATTGGCAGCTTCATATTTTGTATTTTTCATGCTGATTATGCATCTGTTCAAATTTTAGTTCTACATTCGAGAAAAATTTCCAGCATTGAACTCCAACACTGTTGTTTTGGAAAATTCGTCGATCTATTTATCTTACATTGATTGATAGCGAATAAATATACTATGTATGCAGATGAAACAGTACTTTTATATGAAAGCAAGAATCCTTCAAATTCAGAAAATATGATAAATGAAGACAGTATATATATGATTTTTCACCAAAAAAATAGAAGAACAATTCACCTCAACATTGAGAAAAAGAATGATTTCCTAAAACTGACCATATGAAATATCTTGGTATTTGTTTTGATGACAAGTTGAAGCTTCGGGTTGAAGTGGGACAAACATATTGATGTTTTGACAAAGAAGATATCTCCAATTATTGGTGCATTGAGAAGATGTCCCAAACTTGACATTAAAATTGCAAACATGATTCTCTACTCTACTCTCATATACTGAGTCGTATCAACTATTTGATAAATGTTTGGGGATGATAATATCATAAGTAAAAAAGTCGAATATTATTATTATTTTGATACGGAATTCTGAAATTCATAATCATCTTGACGCCGCTAACTCCATACCACAGATTACAAACTTGGACAAAAAAGATTCACTCATTCAGCTACCTGCCACTATCAAAAACTGCAGAAATATAATTGAGTACATTCAAAAATAAAGTAAAAAAACTGATTATTTCGAACTGGATAAAATGAGTCATGTTATTTTACTCTTTTGAAATGTTTACCTATAGGTATATACTTATCGACTTCCTTATACCAGGGCCTATTCTGTCTGGCAGTTTTGTTCAATAAATAAATAAATAGGTAAATAAATTCAAGTCGAACATTGGCAAACAATCTATATTTCATAATGGAATAGCATAATGAAAGTAGACCTAAAATCAATCTTAAACAATACCTGGTCACTTGGTCAGTCCAATTTGATTGAAAAATATTTGGCATGATTCGATTACTCAGAATTGAAATGTTATAACTTTCATCTTAAGAAAAAGTATGAATTTGTTTTCACTGAGTGGATTTCATTAGTTAACATTTTAATATTATTATTATTTTTTTCATATGTGTTCATGTATGCCTATTATTAACAAATATATTTCTTAGCGTGATAGAAACAATCAATCGATCAATCGATCAATATTCTAACTTCAATTTTCCAGCCCCCATTCTCGACCAGCAGATTCATTTCTGCCATCATGGTGGGATATCTCTGGGGACAATTGATTATGCTGGCCATTCCTGAGGACGAGGTTGCTGGCGTCAACTGGTATCCCATCATTCATTGGTTCATCCCTCTAGGTGTCGCTCTAGGTAGGAAACGATAATTATAGGAATTTCCTTTCGTGCGTTCAGAGTGATAATGCAATAATTTAACAATAGATTCCACGACCAAAAATTGAAAAAAAAACTAATTATTCTCGATATCTCGATATAGTTTGAGATACAATGAAATTTTGTGTGTTCGCCTCACTACCGAATCCGAGACCGAATCTCAATGCTAGGAAAGCATAAAGACGCCATTGTTGTTTGTTCAATTTTTATTCAGACTTCTTTTTCTTCTTTAAATTCAGACTTTCTTTGATTTCAGATTCTTCTTTGAATTCAGACATTTTTTTCTGAATTCAGACAGATTTAAACATTTTTCTCTTTCATTATTCCAGACTTTTTGGGAGTTACTCTCCTCGTTCCTAAACAATGAGATTATGAGCATTATTTCAATATACGTGTGTAGTGAGAACCAAATGGTTTGACCCAAAATGTCACTTCATATAAAAATTTTCCTATCAGAAAGCCTGAAAGGAATATTCATCCCCTTGTCAGTGACAATTTGTAAAGCAAAAGGTTTGAAGAATAGATTCTGATTCCAGGCATTTTTCTCTGAATTCAGAATTTTTCTTACAGTTCAGATTTTTGTCTCTGAATTCAGATTTGTTCCTAAAATTTATATTATAGTACATGAATTCGGGCTTCGCTCTGTGAATTCAGACTGTTTTCTTGTATTCAAACTACTCTTCTTCGAGTACAAACTATTTGTTTTATTCAAAACCTTCTTCTTTGAATTCAGCATTTTTCTTCAAATTCAGATTTTTTCCTTCCGATACAATCTGTTTTCTTTGATATACTTATTTTTTCGAATTCAGACTTTCTTCTTCGAGTAAAAACTTTTTTCCTTGAATTCAGATCTTTTTCTTTGGATATAAACTTTTTTCTGAATTCAGGCTTATTCCTTCGAATCCCGACCTTCTTCTTTGAATACATACTTTGTTCGTTGAATTCAGACCTATTTCTTAGAATTCACACGTTTTTCCAAACTTCGACTTTTTTTTTTGAAATCCGTTTATTTTTCTTTGAATTCAGACTCCTCTCTCTGGATTCATGCGATTTTCTGAGAACTCAGACTCTTTCAATTCAGACTTTTGAATACATGGTGTTCTTTTTCCTCAAATTCTGACTTTTTCTTCGAGTACAAACATTTTTATTCGAATTCAGACTCTTTTCTTTGAATTCCGACGTCTTTTTTAAATTCCGACGTTTCTCTCCGAATTGAGAATCGTTTCTCAGAATTCAGAATGCTTCTTCGAATACACCAGATCTTCAAAAAGTTGTAATTGAATCTCGAAAAATACAGATTTATTATCATTTGATAGACATTTTTTTCTCATATCTTCAACTATATATTGATTCTAGAATGATCATTTTCGTATTTTCCAGGCGTCTGGGTGGTAGGCAACATCGGCCGAGAGCAAGGAAAACCCTGGCTCACCATCCTCGTCTCCTACCTCACTTATTCCTCCCGTTGGTACTTTTTTGACGAGAGCGTCTGGCTGACCTTGATGGTCTTCTGCAGCGGCCTGACGTTCGACACGTGGTCGAAGCAGTGGCGGCGGGCGCCTCGCAAAAAACGCTCGTTCACCGGGCGAGTCACCGCGCTGGTGTTGTGCGCATGCGTGTATTGCGCGCTGTGGAGTGCCTACTTTTACTTCAACGGGAAGATAACTGATTCGAATGGGGACGAGGTGCCGGTGCACGAGGCACTGCACCATTTTTTCACCAGTCCGTGGTGGACGGATTTGAAGCAGTCGCTGTACGATACTTACGTGTACGCGCAGCATCACGGATGGTGAGTTGTATTTCATGAAATAGATAGATAGATAGTCATTTTTGTGTCTCAGAATGAAATTTTGAAAATAATAAAACATCACCATTAAGGCTGTGTCTCACGGTCCAACACTTTGATCAAACTACAAATCTGTGATGTCATCAGTGACGTCACGTCAAACAGCAGCTGAAATTTAGAACTTGTTCTAAATATTTGTCATGTTGGATCAAACAATAAGGTTTGTTTTCATGTTCTCTTCATTGATTATTATTTTATATCTTAGGAATTAACAAGAAATACCATCATTAATGGAATATTTTTGTCTTGCTCCAATCCCAAATTAATGCTTGGTTGACGCGCATATATGGATTGATAACAATTTGAAACATCTCCCATCCATAGTTAAGCATTTTTGAAATTTACTATGGGATATCGTCCAGTCTGACTTCATAAAAAATCATAGGTAGGACTCCTCTACCAATATTTCTTCTTTGAAGCCATTATCTAGTGCATATCTCCCTTTTTTTTTAATGACTTTGTATTACATATACAACACAAAATACTTACCATAATATAATGAATTTTTATTCAATTTTTTCTTGTGATTTTTCCCATTTTAGAGAACCTACTTAACCAATATTCTTGTTCAAAAATCTTCAAATCGTGTGACAAAGATTTCTTGACATTTCAAACCATTTGAGTCGAACAGGCAAGAATTACGTCACATCAAACAAATTTGATCATATTGTTGGACCGTGAGACACGGCCTTCATAAAAGAACGAACATACAAAGATTGATACATAATTTGATCAGTGTGAAACCAGCCACGAGTTCCAGCCACGACTTCGCCTAATATTCAAGGCGCGCGCCATACCACCAATGGTCGTTCATTATCAGTTTATATTCATGGCTGGCCATGAAATTACTTAAACCTCCAAAATATGTCCATGGATGAAACTATTTTACATCAATGATTTTCTCTGAGGGTCTATGATAATCTGTATATCTCACAATATTTTGTCGGGCAAGAATTAACCCCACAGGCCCCCTTTTTCGGAATTTCTAAAAAAATTCATAACTTTTTCAAAATACACGTGGATGGGAGTTTTTTTCTATGAATGTGTTTCTCTGATAGTACTCAATAATATGTATATCTCACAATATTTTGTCGGGCAAGAATTAACCCCATAGGCCCCCTTTTTCGGGAATTCGAAAAAAATTCATAACTTCTTCAAAATACACGTGGATGGGAGTTTTTTTCTATGAATGTGTTCCTCTGATGGTACTCAATAATATGTATATGTCACAATATTTTGTCGGGCAAGAATTAACCCCATAGGCCCCCTTTTTCGGAATTTCGTAAAAAATTCATAACTTTTTCAAAATACACGTGGATGGGAGTTTTTTTCTATGAATACATGCCTCTGATGGTACTCAAAAATATGTATATCTCACAATATTTTGTCGGGCAAGAATTAACCCCATAGGCCCCCTTTTTCGGAAATTCGAAAAAAATTCATAACTTTTTCAAAATACACGTGGATGGGAGTTTTTTTCTATGAATGTGTTTCTCTGATAGTACTCAATAATATGGATATCTCACAATATTTTGTCGGGCAAGAATTAACCCCATAGGCCCCCTTTTTCGGGAATTCGAAAAAAATTCATAACTTCTTCAAAATACACGTGGATGGGAGTTTTTTTCTATGAATGTGTTCCTCTGATGGTACTCAATAATATGTATATGTCACAATATTTTGTCGGGCAAGAATTAACCCCATAGGCCCCCTTTTTCGGGAATTCGAAAAAAATTCATAACTTTTTCAAAATACACGTGGATGGGAGTTTTTTTCTATGAATGTGTTTCTCTGATAGTACTCAATAATATGTATATCTCACAATATTTTGTCGGGCAAGAATTAACTCCATAGGCCCCCTTTTTCGGAATTTCGAAAAAAATTCATAACTTTTTCAAAATACACGTGGATGGGAGTTTTTTTCTATGAATACATGCCTCTGATAGTACTCAATAATATGTATATCTCACAATATTTTGTCGGGCAAGAATTAACCCCATAGACCCCTTTTTCGGGAATTCGAAAAAAATGCATAACTTTTTCAAAATACACGAAATCCTTCAAACAATTTTTGAACAGTGAAAAATCATCTACGAATATAATAAGAGTAGAAAAAATCTCACCTGATTTATATCACGACACGTAAAACTCGACGTAAAACACTTGAAATTGTAAAACACACTGAACATTAGGCCATTCAAAAATAAAATGAAATAATTCATATATTCCTATGTATATTTATATGAGCAAATAGGTATTGTAGTACAGATTCACAAAGGATTAAGCCTTTGTTTGTGCCAAAAAGGATTAAGTTAGGTCAATCTACAAGGGACCAAGATTTAAATCTTACCGCGGTCACACCCGATACTGTTGACATCCTGAAGTTAATCTCTATCCGGTAATTTTCGAAGAAATCTAAAGTATTTGAATCCTAGACAGGTATAGGAATAATTCACTATAGTTATACAGGTTTGTTAATCTGTGGTTATACTATCAAGTACGTATTTCACTATGATAAAATTATGTAGAAAAACTCCGGTCATATATATTTTTCTATATATTGAATATATACATATGCTTTATCTATATCATATAGAATATACACATTATCAAGTACCATCGGAGGAACCCATTCATAGAAAAAAACTCCCATCCACGTGTATTTTGAAGAAGTTATGAATTTTTTTCGAATTTCCGAAAAAGGGGGCCTATGGGGTTAATTCTTGCCCGACAAAATATCTTGAGATAAACATATTATTGAGTACCATCAGAAGAACACATTCATATAAAAAAACTCCCATCCACGTGTATTTTGAAAAAGGTATGAATTTTTTTCGAATTCCCGAAAAAGGGGGCCTATGGGGTTAATTCTTGCCCGACAAAATATTGTGAGATATACATATCATTGAGTACCATCAGAGGAACACATTCATAGAAAAAAACTCCCATCCACGTGTATTTTGAGAAAGTTATGAATTTTTTTCGAATTTCCGAAAAAGGGGGCCTATGGGGTTAATTCTTGCCCGACAAAATATTGTGAGATATACATATTATTGAGTACCATCAGAGGAACACATTCATAGAAAAAAACTCCCATCCACGTGTATTTTGAAAAAGTTATGAATTTTTTTCGAATTCCCGAAAAAGGGGGCCTATGGGGTTAATTCTTGCCCGACAAAATATTGTGAGATATACATATCATTGAGTACCATCAGAGAAACACATTCATAGAAAAAAACACCCATCCACGTGTATTTTGAAAAAGGTATGAATTTTTTTCGAAATTCCGAAAAAGGGGGCCTGTGAGGTTAATTCTTGCCCGACAAAATATTGTGAGATGTACATATTATTGAGTACCATCAGAGCAACACATTCATAGAAAAAAACTCCCATCCACGTGTATTTTGAAAAAGTTATGAATTTTTTTCGAATTTCCGAAAAAGGGGGCCTATGGGGTTAATTCTTGCCCGACAAAATATTGTGAGATATACATATTATTGAGTACCATCAGAGGAACACATTCATAGAAAAAAACTCCCATCCACGTGTATTTTGAGAAAGTTATGAATTTTTTTCGAATTTCCGAAAAAGGGGGCCTATGGGGTTAATTCTTGCCCGACAAAATATTGTGAGATATACATATTATTGAGTACCATCAGAGGAACACATTCATAGAAAAAAACTCCCATCCACGTGTATTTTGAAAAAGTTATGAATTTTTTTCGAATTCCCGAAAAAGGGGGCCTATGGGGTTAATTCTTGCCCGACAAAATATTGTGAGATATACATATCATTGAGTACCATCAGAGAAACACATTCATAGAAAAAAACACCCATCCACGTGTATTTTGAAAAAGGTATGAATTTTTTTCGAAATTCCGAAAAAGGGGGCCTGTGAGGTTAATTCTTGCCCGACAAAATATTGTGAGATATACATATTATTGAGTACCATCAGAGCAACACATTCATAGAAAAAAACTCCCATCCACGTGTATTTTGAAAAAGTTATGAATTTTTTTCGAATTTCCGAAAAAGGGGGCCTATGGGGTTAATTCTTGCCCGACAAAATATTGTGAGATATACATATTTTTGAGTACCATCAGAGGCATGTATTCATAGAAAAAAACTCTCATCCACGTGTATTTTGAAAAAGTTATGAATTTTTTACGGAATTCCGAAAAAGGGGGCCTATGGGGTTAATTCTTGCCCGACAAAATATTGTGACATATACATATTATTGAGTACCATCAGAGGAACACATTCATAGAGAAAAACTCCCATCCACGTGTATTTTGAAGAAGTTATGAATTTTTTTCGAATTCCCGAAAAAGGGGGCTTATGGGGTTAATTCTAGCCCGACAAAATATTGTGAGATATACATATTATTGAGTACTATCAGAGAAACACATTCATAGAAAAAAACTCCCATCCACGTGTATTTTGAAAAAGTTATGAATTTTTTTAGAAATTCCGAAAAAGGGGGCCTGTGGGGTTAATTCTTGCCCGACAAAGTATTGTGAGATATACAGATTATCATAGACCCTCAGAGAAAATCATTGATGTAAAATAGTTTCATCCATGGACATATTTTGGAGGTTTAAGTAATTTCATGGCCAGCCATGAATATAAACTGATAATGAACGACCATTGGTGGTATGGCGCGCGCCTTGAATATTAGGCGAAGTCGTGGCTGGAACTCGTGGCTGGTTTCACACTGATCATAATTTGAGTTTGAAAACAAATTTTAATAAACAATCGGTAAGTATGTTCTTGAAGGAAGAAGGACGCACCTGAAATATTTTCAATGTATTCATCGATAGAATAAAAATTATTATTTGACAGATACGATTCGATTGTTCGTTTGAACTCAATCATCTTTAATATTTCAACTTGATGTGGCAGTGGGTTATGAAGATTGAGATCTAAAGAATTTTTTGTTAAATAGAGAGCCTATATCAAAAGGGAATCTGATATTATCAGAATTCCTAGTGTTACGATGGTGGATATCAGCCTGTGTAGTGAGATTAGACGATATTTTATGGATTTCAAGAAGGGAATTGTAAATATATGAAGACGAAAGTCTTAATTTTGGATTTGGTGAATAATGGTCTACAGGTAGTCTCCATGTCTTAGAATGTTCAGGGGATATATTTTCAACGTCATTCACGACTAGGTAACAGGCTGTTGAAAATTTAGACCAATCAAAATGCTTCCTGCATAAATCTGTTTTGTACTTTGTACATTATTTCGCCAGGAATACTATGGTCGAATCCATTTTCTATTGATTCGCTATCTCAATGATGTATTTTCGACAACTGACATGAATAGTAACTTTGTTATCCTTGACTTCTGAGACAAATATGTGTATAGGTTCGGAATCTTCGTGAAATTTTACAATGATCTTGTTGGTTTTCAACCGAAAGTTCAGAAATTTCTGAAATTTGGCGGTGAAAAAAGGTGTCCGCTTGAACTGCTACCTAAAGAAGCTTCAGGTTGCATTCACTGTTACTCCAGGTAGTCTTGAGTAGAATAGATCCGGTTCGAAGGACCAATATGTTCATTGCTTGATAGATAGTAGACTGTATTTGCATGGATATGATAATGGAATGAAGATTGCCATCATAATGGAAATCTCTTATACTATAGATATTTGATAATACAAGTACTAAACTATTATACAGCAACCTTGACTTCTAAGACACCAATGTATATAGATTCGGAATCCTCGTGAAATTTTACTTTGATCTAATTAGTTTTTAACCGGAAATTTGTCAATTTTAGGCGTTTGGCAGGAAATATTATATCGATCTGAATGTTAGTCAATGTCGATCACTTTCAGGTACGAGATCTGGAAGCAGATCATCGACTTGTCGGATCCGCACGGCGAGCAGAACTCCTACAGGGTGTTGGGCGTGAGTCCCACTTCGAGCCAATCGGAGATCACCGCTAGATGGCGCTCGTTGAGTCGCGAGTTCCATCCCGACAAGGTCAAGGATGTGGATAGACAAAGAGAGGCGCAGGAGAGGTTCATGGAGATCCAGCAGGCGTACGACATTTTGTCGAATATTAAAGCGAAGCGGAGGAGGAAGAACAAGAAGTCGGTCAGGGAGGACGAGCTGTAAGGGTTTGAGTCGTTGGAGAGGGGTCGTGAGTGGTTGAGCGAAAAATTTCAGAAGGGTCAATTGAATTTCAGAAAGCATCATTTGAATTTCAGGATAGTCAATTGAATTTCAGGAAGCATCATTTGAATTTCAGAATAGTTAGTCAATTGAATTTCAGAAAGCGTCATTTGTATTACAGAAAATATTATGTGAGATAAAATGGACGCTTCCTGAAATTCAATTGACTATTCTGAAATACAATGGGTGAGTGGACTGATTACTGAATGATTGGCATTCAATTACTCCAGTGTGTCGTTAGGGACTTGAATTAATTTTTCTGACACGTCTCACGCTTTTTTTCTGTAATGAATCTATGCGTTGTTCAAAATCGTTGAATTTCAGATCTCTCTTTTTACCTTTTTTTTTACACTAAAAATCAAAAGAATAGGAAAAATGTCCCTTTTGCGAATAGCCAAACGTGCCGCGATTCAAACTGATCTAAGTTAGTGGCAGAGCGTCAATATTTCCGTATTACAAGTTTCAGTTATTGCATTACATTATCTTCTTCATTGATACATTTCATACAAATAATATACAGGGTGGCCCACGGTCGATGGTACCTTTGACGTATACGGAAAACGGTACATTTGATTATCCTGAAAATTTGGTTACTCTAATAAGCGTTTGTGATCTAACGATTCAAAATATTTTCAGCGAAGCAGCGTTGCCACTTTTACCAAAAAGTAGCATCATCTTTGTTATTCCAAATGGAACACCCTGTATTTTATTGCGTTTTTAGATTCTTTTCAAAGAGCTGATTTCATCAATGCATCACACTTGGGGTCTAGCAGGAATTATTACAGAGATATAGGGTGTTCAAAATCGAGATTTTTCAACATTAGGATTTTTTTGTGTGGAAACTATTTATCATTGGTCAAAACGGCTCACATGTCTCTATATTAACTTTTGATTAACTATCTACCGACATTTAATTGGAAAAAATACAGGATGGTCCAAGATTCAGAATTTCGATCACCCTGTATCTGTTCCAATTAAATGTCAGTAGATAGTGAATCAAAAGATAAGATAGGAACATGTAAGCCGTTTTGATCGATAATGAATAGTTTCGACACAAAAATTTCATGAAATTGAAAAATCTCGATTTTGAACACCCCATATCTCTGTAATAATTCCTGCTAGACCCCAAGTGTGATGCATTGATGAAATCAGCTCTTCGAGAAGAATCTAAAAACGCAATGAAATACAGGGTGTTCCATTTGAAATAACAAAGATGATGCTACTTTTTGGTGAAAGTGGCAACGCTGCATCGCTGAAAATATTTTGAATCGTTAAATCACAAACGCTTATTACAGTAACCAAATTTTCAGGATAATCCAATGTACCGTTTCCCGTATACGTCTAAGGTACCATCGACCGTGGGCCACCCTGTATAAAGTATAATTAATTTCATAGTAGGAATGACATGAATGATCAGACAGTAATTCCTGGTACAAGATCATTCATGAAGTATTATCGACTGTTGTTTAAATGAAATTACAACAAATAGTGAACAAAACTTACATACCATTAAGATATCTCAAAATAACAGTCACATTATAGTGAACAAGAAGAAAAAAAAAAGAGAAAAAAAAGGAAATTCATAGTCTTTCAGCTTTGATCGTTCCTTTGCATGTATAAATATATTTCTCCACTTTATTTTTGAATTGTATAATATTTGGGCTGTTATTGATATCATCTGGTAATTTATTGAATTTTACACTGGTCCATCGGATATTATCTTTCGACGAGGGCGAAATATTCTAGGAATTATTGATGCTCTGCCACTAACTTCGCAAAGACGACATCATTCCCTTTCATTTGTTTCTTGTTTCAACTTGTTATCACATGCCGGAAGTATGTCCGGGATATGACACACAGGGGGATTTTTGAAATCTACCATTCAATTGGTATCGAATGGCACAATTCTATCTCTTTATCAAGTAGCGAAATCGAGTGCAAATTTCCGCACAGGAAAGTGCAATTTTTCGATTTTGCTCAAGAAAGTGATTGGTACAGGTTCCGATCGATAAACTACAATGGTTTTACATTCCTTCGGGACATATATTATCATTTCGTCATCAGATGACGGACGAAATTATGTGCAGCCTACTTTTGGACTATTTATTTGAAAGTGACACCAGGACTGCCATATTGATATAAGACACCCGTTTTTCAATCGAATGTTTTTTGTTCTGTATATTCATGTTCTGAGTGTGTTCTTCTTGTGTCTCCATAATTCGGAATAAGTAGAACGACCTCTTCTTTCAGCCAAATCCTAACTAAAGCGGAAATTGTAATTATTTTTGATGATCTTGAATTTCAGTAGCTCAATGTTTGTCAATAAAAATTCAATGAATTTGTTTTTCGATAAGAAGAATGATGGTGAATGAAAATCAGAATAGAATTCTGAGTGTGATTGTTTTTTTCCTGTTCATATATTTTATGATGATGTTAGATTAAGGAACATTTTTATTAGATCTGACTCGGTAATAATATAGAAAATCAACATCGGTTTGAATGTTGTTGATGCGGACCAACTGAAGTCCGTCCATTTCAAATGTGATTTATTTTCAGATGCAATAAAATTTTTATTTTAGGAAGGTTTCTTTTATTTCGGCTATCATCGCTCCAAAAGTGATCATTTTGAATATCAAAATCTGACATTGAAATTCCTTCTCTACTCGAAGGACCAAAAATCTTAGAAGCTGAAGAGCTTCACAAACGACAAATTGATTTTCTTTAATATCGGAAGCCCTGTTTTTTTCATTCAGGTCCATTCTCGTCGAAATAATAAAAAGTTTGGATCGTTCATCTTCTGTTTCTTCTGTGGAAAAAAAATAGAGTGTTTCATTCAAGATATGGGTTTGAGGTTGTCACGATTTTAGAATTATTTCTGATAAGGTTGTAGAATGGCTTTTCGGGCCATTCAACTTTTTTATGGAAAAAACTTAACAAAATTGTTCCTCGCAGCAAAGAGGGAAATGAAAAAGCCAAACATTTCATTCGTCTAGCTATAAAACTTAGCGTCGCCATACTCCACTTCACTGAGGTTGTTAAACATATATAGGGACATTCAAACTCGCCATAGATGAATTTTATTATACATCCACTTATTATTCAGTATTTTCATTACTCCGTGAATAGGGTATATATATAATATGCGGTAAATATAAGGCTAACATACATTCACAGCCTTGCAAAATCGATATGGCATTAGTTGATATTAGTTTCCCACTTTAGATCCATTCGTTCTTTTGTCAAACTTTCATCAAACATAGGATGAGAGTTTTCAGTCCAAAACACACAGCAAATTTTTTTTTTCTCAAGAATCAATAATTGCTGTAGTATAAATATTAGTCGAGTATTGTAACCTCACTTTCCATTTTCAAATGAATTTGGGAAAGATCGAATCTGGGAAATATATCACCAATACAGATTTGCAAGGCAAAATATACATTCTATACATTTAGCACCATTTCGGATAATATTTCTCATTGGTTCCCAATATACAATACTTTTTGGCAAAGATCGTGTTCTGATCATTGCTTTCAGAATAATTGTTTTCAGATAAATTGAAGAAATATTTTTTCCACTACTAACTCTCTTCTAATGAAAACATAAACCATTCACAAGAAAGTGAAGATTGTAGGTCTAAAAATATTGAATTAGGAAATTTTTGTTAGCAGTGGAAAAACTGTACCTTGGTATACCGGGTATGTCATATGATGAGCTTACACTATCTTTATATCGAGAATCAGTCGCAAAAAATTCATGCTGTCATTTGAGATTACGCTCTCTTCGTTTAAAATATTTCAAACAATGCAGAGCTGCCACTTCTACTAGAAAGTAGCAACCACCTTGTTATTTCAAATGGAATACCCTGTATTTCATTGCCATTTCAGAGTCTTCCTGAAGAGCTGATTCCATCAATGCATCACAGTTGGGGTCTAGTGGGAATGATTACGGAGATATAGGGTGTTCAAAATCGAGATCTTTCAACTTAAGGATTTTTTTCTGTCGAAACTATTCATTATTGGTTGAAACGTCTCACATGTCCCTATCTTAACTTTCGCTTCACCTTCTACTGACATTTTATCAGAATAGCAGATACCGGGTGTTCAGAATTCTTTATCAGTTCCAATTAAATGTCAGTAGATACTAAATCAAAAGTTAAGATAGGGGCATGTAGGCCGTTTATTTGACCAATATAATGAATAGTTTCGATACAAAAAACCGCTCAAGTTGAAAAACCTTGATTTTGAACACCCTATATTTCTGTAATCATTTACGCTAGACCCCAAGTGTGATGCATTGATGAAATCAGCTCTTCAGGAAGAATCTAAAAATGCAATGATTTTATTTGAAATAACGAAGTTGTTGCTACTTTCTAGTAGAAGCGGCAACACTGCTTCTTCGACAATATTTCAAACGATTAATGTCATCAATTTCTTGTGACTGATTCTAGATATAAAGACATACCCTGTATAATTACTATTATCCAATCAGGGGTATATCGACAACTGAATAACGTTGATAAAATTTGTTAGTACTCCCACAGGGATAAAAATCTTACAGGTATCACACGTGAATATATTTCAGATATTTTGATATATCCGAAGAAGATAAAAATAATGTTACAAAGTTGATAAATCTGTGTAAAAAATAGAAATAGAAAAGTTAGCAGAATATTATGATATTCGGTAGTATATGAATATGGTGTTGCAATATAAATTCACATTCTAAGGCCCATCGTAATACAATACAATTTTTACAAATCCTACATTTTAGATATGTCAATGTTACGAAAAAGAAACCACTAAAAATCATGAATACGGAGAGCAATATTTTAAAGATGAGTTTTATCGATTTCTAATTTGAACTGAAACATATACATTCCTTATTATTATCTGACATTTTCGATCAATATGCAGTAATGATAGAAAATACAATATTACACTATTGTAATGAACATAAATGAAAGGATATTATGAATGATTCAGTGAGCGACTTACTTGGATTAAAAACATGTCTAACCTAGATAATATATCGATATTTATTAGGTCAACACTTCATCAAATCACGGACTATACAAGAAATTAAATACTATGTATATATAAATAAAAAAGGAGAACATTTTCACATTTTCATTCATGGAATCATGGAACATGAATTAATGTACAAACGATAGTAGGAATAGCGTTGGTACAGACCATCCCCATCCCACCCACTTTTCCATGACAAACGTCACAAAAAATCCGCGCATGCGTCATCGCTTGAAAAAAAGTGAAAGAACGTCACGTGAGTATGTTGCCTTATTTGGGACAATAAATATATACAGTGTGTCCACTTTAAGGACTTACCGCCCCCTGTAAAATTGTTATTATCTGACCGATTTCAAGAAACTGTTTTTTGTTGGAAAGGTATTTGTAATGTCCATCCCACAAGAGAGTGATTTTACTCATGAACTGTAATCGTGGCCAACTGCGACCAACTTTATTGACCCATATTTGAGAAAGTACTATAAGGGATTTTTTTTCACAAAAAACAATGATGGATTCTGAATCACGATCACTTGAAAAACAACCTTACTGATTTTTATCATCATAAAACACAGGGTGTCCGAAAAAACGAATTGTTTTTTTTAAATAGGTGATCAGAAAATGTAGTATTGTGGTATTTTTGAGAAGAATTGATGACACATTATTATTGAGGATCACTTTGAACATATCTGTATAGATTTTCATCATTCAAAAATACGATGTGTATGGAAAAACAATTAAAAAAAAAAGTAGGCAATATTTTTTCATCAAGTCAAAAAAAATATTAATTTGATTTTTCGAATCAATGATGATGAAAATCGGTACAGGTATGTTCTAAGTGATCCTGATTCATCATTTTATTTTGAGTGAAGAATTATCAGGATGAAAAATATTGCTTACCTGTCCTTTTTAATTATTTTCTCAGACAAATTGTATATTCAAATGACCAATGAAAATTGCTACAGGTTTATTTGAAATAATCCTCAATGATAATTTGTGATTATTTCTTTCTAGAAAAACCACAGAACTACATTTGCTGATCACCTATTTGAAGAAAATCATGATTCGTTTTTTCGGACACCCTGTGTTTTATGATGATGAAAATCGGTACAGATATATTTCAAGTGGTACTGATTCAGAATCCATAATCAAGTTTCGTGGAAAAAAATCCCTCATAGTACTTTCTGGAATATGGGTCATTGAAATTTGTCGCAGTTGGCCACGATAACAGTCCAAGAATTAGATCACTTTCTCGTTGGATGGGCATTTCAAATACCTATCCAACAAAAAAAGGTTTTTTGAAATTGGTCGAATAATAACGATTTTACAGGAGTGGTAAGTCCTTAAGGTGGACACACTGTATATTGAAAGTGAGAAGTACCAGTTTCTTTTTCTCAGCAAATTTATTCACCCAATTTATGTGCTAAAAAGTTACCAAAATCCATCAGAGCAATCCTTAAGCATTCCACTACCACAGAACTGAAAAATTTGGTGAATTGAAATTAAGTTTCAGGGTGGTGGTATTAGGAAACAAATAACTATTCAGAATTCCACTTGTCACACACTGTACGTCATTGTATTATCAACTTACACGCAAAATAGAACACGCTGTAATCTATATACCTACTCACAAACAATGTGCCAGCCCGTTTCATGTTTCTATGAACTGCCATTGTCGATGGTTTTCTCAAAAGGATACCCTATATCTCTGTTCATTATTCAGTCTTTGTTCAGCTCAAACAAACGACAAAACAACAATCGATCAGGAGCTCAAAAATATCAGAGAAACTGCTTAATAGAACCATTATTTTCTATTACGTCATAAGAGTAGCTCAAGAAGCGAGGCTTCGAATACATAATTTTTAATATATAAGGATTGGAAAATGACGAAATATTATCAAAGTTTCTGTGAAATATGGAATTTTCGCTAAGGGGTCATTCTTCCTATTGCTGTGACCAAAAAATGTTCTTTCTCAGCTGCATTGTACACTTACTGTGAATATTGTTAATCAAATTTCGATTTCAAAACATCTGATGTCATTGCACAGACTCAGTTATTCGAATAAACAAATGAAATAAAAATTATCACCACTCTGTATCTTGAAAACGAAGCTCTAAAACATACAAGTTTAAATAAGTATCAGAAATAACTTTGTCTTCTTATTGCGTCCATGGTTGCAACAGGTTATTCTCAAAAACTTTCTCGCCATTGGTTGTCTTAACTTCGCAAATTGGTTCCTGCTTTATTGATTCAATTGGTAACTTCACAGCTCTCAGAAAGAAAATCTGTGGATACAAAAACTAGTCCTACATACTATACAAAACAGTCTCTCACTCCTCCGAGCACAATCGACATAACTGGTACTTCTTCTTCTTCGTCCGCTCCGGCTTTACGACCTTCACCCCGTCGGCCATCTTGGCTTGAGCAACAAGTGACGATTTGACGCAAATGGCGACGTCGGTCGAGGTTATGTTGTTGTTGTGGTTGGGATGGTCGCCGTTGTTGTTGACCAGGGTGATGTGCAGTCGGGGCACTAAGAAAACCTACTGATACAAAACCAGTCCTACCTACTATACAAAACAGTCTCTTCATTCCTCCAAGCACCATCGACACAACTGGCACTCGTGCTATTTCTTCTTCTTCGTCCTGACCGGCTTAACGACCTCCACCCCATCGGCCATCTTGTGTTGAGCAACAGGTGACGACTTGACGCAAATGGCGGCATCGGTCGGGGTTATGTTGTTGTTGTTGTGGTTGGGGTGGTCGCCGTTGTTGTTGACCAGGGTGATCTGCAGTCGGGGTACCGTGAGGGGACGGATCAGCGACTTGACCACAGGAGGACAGGTCCGGCCTGAGGGAAGCACGGGGGAGCTGGCGCAAAGGGCGGCCGAGGTCAGCTGGGTTACGAGGCGGGCGCTGGAAAATGGGTCCGTGTTCGGGCCGGAAGACGTTCGGAATACTTTTCTCAGCTTGGATTTCAGACCTGGAGAGCGAATATTCGATTAGTCACTTGGAAGAATTGGTGGGACTCTTGAAAGAACAGCATTTTCGTCCGAATGATTTCCTATTTTCCTATAAAGAAATTGGGTCCAGGACATGATGGTGTACAGAACCTTTGTAGGAAGAAAGTATTGGGAATGCTACCCGAAGATTCTGTAGTGGTTGTCGGCAGTATCAGATATCTTACCACCTTGAGGAATTGAGGATTAATGTCCCATGATGTCCCGAAATTTCCTGGATCTGGTGAAGAGGACTAGGAGTTTGGAGTAGGAATCATAGGGGATGTGACAGTTGTTCATAGTAGTTCAGTTACCAACCTATTCAGCTTCAGGATGCCTGCTGTCATTTTTCTATTTCAGACCTGGAAAGCGACGATCCATCAATTAGTCACTTGAAAAATTTGGTGAGGCACATGAACGAACGTCCCTAGTCCTAATGATTTCCTGAGGAAAAACACTGATATGGGTGCCAGGTGCCAGGACATTGAAGTGTAGAGAAGTTTTGTAGAAAGAAAGAAATGGGGATGCTACCCCAAGATTCTGCAGTGGATGTACACAGCATCATGTATCTTACCACAAATTTCCTGGATCTGGCGAAGAGAAGTAGGAGTTTTGAATAGGTCTCATAGAGGGCTGTGGCAGTTGCTTCTAGTAGTTCAGTTACCAACTTTGGCTGGGTCCTATTCAGCTTTAGGATACCTGCTACATTTATCCGAATACTTTCATAACTAGCAGCAACTCACGGACTTTGATGTGGGTGGAGAAAGAAGATATGGGCATGAAAATGGTGTGCATAATCTTTGTAGGAAGAAAGTGGGTTTGCAACAAAAATGATCTAATACCCATCAATAAGCAGTACCTCACTACCACGAAGATCAATCTCTCTCATGTCCAAAAATTCCGCTGATCTGACGAAGAGGACTAGGAGTTTGAGACGAAAGACCCTTTAAGGGTAGTGGTAGTGGCAGTGATTTATAGTGAATAGTCCAGTTCCAATCCTAAACTGCTTCCATATAACGAAGATCAATCTCTCTCATGTTCAAAAATTCCGCTGATCTGACGAAGAGGACTAGGATTTTGAGACGAAAGACCCTTTAAGGGTAGTGGTAGTGGCAGTGATTTATAGTGAATAGTCCAGTTCCAATTCTAAACTGCTTCCATATAACAAAATGCAATTAGCTCCTCTGATGTGGGTCATGAAGCATGAAGAAGATTCATGTCCGTATAAGTTCTGCAGAAAGAAACTCTGGATATAATCCAAAGATTTTAATGCAGTGGATGGAGCAAAAGTAAAAACAGTCATAACTTATGGCGTAATAGCTTGGGGATGGAATGATCACAACGAGGATCGCGATTCAGACAGACTAGATTTCCATTGAATATTTTTCAAACCTGGGATAGAAGACGTTATGGAAAAAACGTTTAGCTATGTGATAGTTGTAAGAATGAATATGAGATTAGGAGGAACACTATCTGTAGAAAACCATAAAGGCAGATGAAATATTCGGAAAGCTTGAACTGATCCTCTTTCTTGTTGAGGTTATAAGATTGGAAAAAAACGGTACCAGGGAAGGTTGTTATGGACACTTATCTTAACAGAACATTCTTCAAACTGATTTAATGAGCTGAATAATTCAAATTGTCTCCCATTCGATATACCTGGTGATCTGGTGATACGTAAACATGTTGACGAAACGTGGAAAAACTAGGGAAACAAGAAAATGTCGTGACCAGAATGGATAATGAAAAACTTTTCGGTTGCATGAGTTCTTATTAGTGTTCCACTTGTCTACAACATTTTTATTGGAGCCGACACGACAACTCGAATCGCACTTTGGGCTAATGGAATTAAGTGGTTGTAAACAGGGCCGGAGGAGTAAATTGGACCTTGAAAATGGTCCCCAATGATTTCTCAATAGAAGGTATATTTATATTTGATTCATTCTCCTGTACAGGGTGGGCAAAATTGGGCGTTTTCACCGTCTATCTCAATAACTAGAGGAGTTATCGAAAAACCGATATACATGTTCCGGGTTCGATTTTGGAGAAACCTCGAATGGCACAATCAAAATTTCGAAATCTTCATTCGTTTTAGAGATACAGGGGGAAATTGAAAATTTGCCGATTTTGATTTTATTTTCTGACTACTTTACGGTGAGAGGTATCAAAAAATTTCGAACGTATAATTATACAGTATGATGCGTGGAATCCATTGGCATCATCAGAAATTATATACAGGGTGACGTTGAAAAGATACGGCAGCCAATTATGTTTTTTCTAATGGAACACCCCGTATATTTTGGCACAGTTGAAAAGTCCCAGTCGTTCTCATTACAAATACATACATAACCCTACCTTTTTCTTCCACAATTTCAGATATATTCGCAAAAATATATTCAGTGTGTCACATTTCTTATGGTTACACCCCCGTATCTTCTGTAAAAATAATTGAGGTAGGATTCAAATATTCGCAACTATCAGAAAGATACAAATGATACACTCATGGAGTCATGGACCAAGTGGGATCATCTCCAATGATAACACTGCTCGCCTGCAGCTATGGAATCATCGATATTTCTGGATAATGCTATCAACAGGCAGAATCGAGGTTGAAAATGACACTCTGTATATATTCACCAAATGTGGAAAATATATATCAAAGGGAATGTAATTTCCAGATAAATGGATATTTGGTGAGAAATAAAATGAGAAATTATTCGATTTGATATCATTGTTATCAAAGATATTTGAGATACAGAAATAAGACCAATAATTTACTCAATTAGGAAATCAGTAGGTTGCGTTGAAAAATATAGCCTTATAGAAGATGTCCAAATTCCAGATGCAGAACAATTTTTTTTATGGAACACCCCATATATTTTGGCAGAGCTGGAAAGTTCCCGTTTCAATTTCAAATATATATCTTATTTATTATCTCTTTGAACGCAAAAATATTAAGGCATACTAGAAATAATGGGTAAAGTATCATATTCAGGCATTCTGCCAAAAAATATTATGATTGTTGATGTTTCCATCAATTATTCTTACAGAAGATACGGGGGTGTAACCATAAGAAATGTGACACACTGAATATATTTTTGCGAATATATCTGAAATTGGGGAAGGAAAAGGTAGGGTTATACATATATATTTGTGATAAGAACGCCTGGGACTATTCAACTGTGCCAAAATATACGGGGTGTTCCATTAGAAAAAACATAATTGGCTGCCGTATTTTCTCAACGTCACCCTGTATAAAATTTCTGATGATGCCAATGGATTCCACGCATCATACTGTATAAATATACGTTTGAAATTTTTTGATACCACTCACCGTAAAGTAGTCAGAAAATAAAATCGAAATCGGAAAATTTTCAATTTTCCCCTGTATCTCTAAAACGAATGAAGATATCGACATTTTGATTGTACCATTCGAGGTTTCTCCAAAATCGAAACCGGAACATGTATATCGGTTTTTCGATAACTCCTCTAGTTATTGAGATAGACGGTGAAAACGCCCAATTTTGCCCACCCTGTACTCAATAATCCAGGTATATCACCATGCAGATATTTTTGTTATCGAAATATCTCAGTAGGCCTTGATTTAGATTGTAGCCAATCCAATAGGACGCAGATACTTTTCTGGATTTATTGCTGCAGTTACATTTTAAGTGCACATGTAACTGGAAAACATTAATCGAAAAAATTCGGAATTTTATAGCATGTTATATTCATTCGCATACCTGTATACGTAATAAAAAACTTAATTTTCTGCTAGCATTCCATGATGAAATGATTTATTTAGAAACCGATAATTGTATTTGAAATCTGATTCTAAATCATCTGTTTCACTTATACAGGGTGTTTCAAAAAAACCTAACACTCCTGCTAGGGTAGGTAGAACACTGCAGAATAAGTTGGGTTAGCTCAGTGAAAAAATGTCGTAACGGCATTCGTTTTCATGATACAAGGTGTTGAAAAATTGATTTTTTTACACATTTTTCACGATTATGTTGAAACTACTGGCAACATTGTAATGCAATTCCGTATGAATGTTCCTTGAAATCTGACACATCACATGAATTTGTTTTTATATCTGACTCTCATAGAAGGCGGTAGTTACAGAGTTCGTACCAAGTAGTTCAGAACATAACTTTTTTCAGGTTATATTTTTCAATCCAAATGTGATATGAACTTGAACATCATTCAATTTTACACCAGAAAGGTACTCTAGGTGGAACTCGATACTATGTTTCGTTTTCGGAATATTTCGATTAGAAAATAATGGAGCAATAGCTGATGCTGGTATAAAATGAATTTTATTGAGTTCAATTACCTATTTATTCCGATTCAAAAACAATAAAATTATTCTTGTGCTGAAGTTATTGATGGAACAAAGAATCATAAGTAGAAAATCAAGAGATATTTGACTTGAAACATGAAATATTGAATCAGTTAGAGTAGGTGTTCAAAATGTCCTACGTTTCGAAGAAAAAACGATTCTATATTCTCTTCTTAAGAATGTATTATTCTTCTTAACAGTTGAGGATCAGCTGTTAGGTCATTTTAGTGATGTTCAATTATGTCTTACAACTATCTTGACGTGAATTTACCTATGTAGCATAGACTTTCTGCTCAAGTTACAGCAAAACTGTGTAATCCATGTCCTTAGTCAAATCTGTTTCGATGTTATTCTAGTGATTAATTGTTGAATCAATAAGTTTAGCATTAGAAATGTATTGTTGTTTTCGGTTTTCAATGAATAGGTGATAATTTCTCCTAATACTCTGATACATAGCTTGATACCAGCAACAGTTATCACTTCATCATTTTCAAATCGAAATATCCCGAAAGCGGAATACAGTATCGAGTTTTTCCAAGAGTATCTTTTTGGTGTAGAATTGAATGATGTTCAAGTTCACATCAAATTTGGATTGAAAAATCTAACCCCAAAAAAGTTATGTTCAAAACTACTCGGTACGAA